AGAGGGGACTCTGGAATTTAAATGTTAGCCTCCCCCTCTCCAGTGTTATGATGAGATTTCATAAGGTTGTGATCATGTGAAATCTGGAGCCAGCCTTCCACTGGTGCCTCTACCAAAGGATATTTTTATAACAATGTATTTTTATAGTTAATGGATGCAAAATATAGAAAACTAAATATAGTTCATGACCGCTGAGAAAACTGCCTAATTTAAAAATATTAAGCGGTATGTTTTAGTATAGTAATGCTGTACTTACAGAAGTATAAATATCTAGGGGGATGAAGCTTATTTTTACATGGTACATACAAACAGCATGCTCATCGCCGACATACAGCATATGTCCGGTTAACTGCATGTGTCTCAAAGGAGACTTACTCCTCCTCCCTCCTCCAGCTTCCTCACCCTTCCTCTTCCCCTCCCCCTTCTTTCTCTGCTTCTTCCTCCCTACCCCTTCCGTTCCCCTTACTTAATTTCAAGGCCAAACTGAACACTGAACAGAAGTACCCAAATACTATAAATTCAGGACCCGTTTGATTTTGATTCCAATCAGTGAAGCCATGTTTCTAGATGTTTTGTATCACTTCATAGTATTGATTACTTTCATTTTACAATTGAAAAGTGGCCCAAGCATAAATTCAGTGCAGAGCTGAAGAAGACATAGCACATTGTTTAGAAAGTGAATGTGTTCCCATTCATTTTCAGTGTAGGACTGAAAGGCTGGCGTCTCCCTGGCCAACTTCGTTTACCTGATGGTGAGCAATGAAAGTTCTCACTCCTCAGCATAACTCCCTGGCCATTTCTCTGTACACCTTCTGTGTCTTCTTTCAAGTCACGTGTTTCACTAATAGAACGTCAGCCTCCATCTTGGAAAATTATTAGTTCACATTTATTCATCATTTTCTAGGTCATTTGACAACAATCAAATGCACACCTTTAATCCCAGCCCTTGGGGAATAAAGGAGGTGACTATCTGTAGAGTTCAAGGACAGCCTGGTCTACAGAGCTAGTTCCAGGTTAGCCAGGACTACCCAAAGAAGATCTCTCTTGGGGAGGGAGGAATATTGGTTTTTCAAGACCTGCTTGAGACTGGCTAGGTAGAACATTCATGCTCTGATACTTGAACCACCTGCTGTCTTTTCCCTTCTAAAGATTTACCCTCTGGATAATATAAGGAGAAAACACAGCATATTTTGTTATTGTAAACAGTTTTTCAGGGTAATACTTAATTGTATCTGAGCTTTCAGTCTCCTACACTCAGCTGTTAACGTTGCTAAGTCATCTCCTTGCCCCTGGCCCCTGGCCCGGGTTATATCTGATTGATAAGTCCATAAAAACAAACTTTTGCCCTGATTTGCTCTTGAGTACTTGTATCTCTGTGTCTTTTCTAAAGGTGTAAAGTGCTCTGTCTGAGCATGTTGGTATAACATTTACAACATGCAGGCATGAGGTTTATCAATTTATCAGTGTTGGGAGTAACTGCCTGGTTGGGTTGTCTTCAGGAAAGCTGTGTAAATTACATAAAACTACTAATAGATGAGCTTACATCTTCCGAAAGAGATCCCTATCCTTTAGATACGTGTCTCATAAAGTCTAGTGATGGCATTAATAGACAGCTCTCACAGAGATCACTAGAATATGTTGATTTGACCCTAGTAAAGACCCCACAGAAAGCAGTAGTTCACGCCTTTGCTTGTGATATCAGAATCTCATAGGACAATAGGCTTAGTTTTCCCAGCAGACAATTAAAAACAAAGGAGCTGCGTGCCTGCGCTCATCTCCCTCCTTGACTGTGGAGTGTGGCCAGCTGCTTCCAGCCCCTTGTGGCGCCCACAGCAGTTCCTGCTGCCCTCTGTCCTATCACAGCCCTCTCTCACCAGATACTTTCATCACAATAGCAAGGAAGGCACCAAACGTCTATGGCAACATAGATTTGAGGGTTATTTTCTTTGACACTAATTTTTGTGGCCTGGAGAGAAGGATTCACAGAACTGCCAGTGATCGGTACAGTGGTCCCATTTAATGAGCTCACTCTGCCCCCAACATTAACTTTACTCAAGTGTCCCTCTCCACCTCCTCTCTCCCTCCTCCTTCTCTAACCTAGAGCCTCAGATTGTACCACTAACCACGTGCCAAAACTAGGTCCATTATTTAAAAGGAATGAACTGTGAGAGAAGTTTAGATGCATTGAAATTTCCTGTGTCCAAACAAATGATTCACCTTAGAACCAATTCTCTAGAAACCCTAAGCCATGTCTCTTAACCTGCTGTCTCCTCTCTTTGCTGTTCTGGGAATTAGTACCAGGGAGCTTCTTGTTTGTCAACTAGACATCAGTACTTAGTGACATTCTTGGCTTACAGTGCTGGCCATTGAGAATATAGATGTGGTCCTCTCTCTGATGTATTTGTCTTTCAATGGGAAAGACTTCCAATGGGGCGGCGTCCTGTGGGGCAGTGAATTGGAGGCAAGAGCATGCAGACAGCCTCTAGAAAGGTGGTTTTCAATCTGTGGATCACAACCTCTTTGGTGTCAAATGATCTTTTCATAGGGGTTGCCTAAGACCATCAGATAACACTGATACTTATTTTATAGCCCGTAACAATAGCAAAGTTACAGTCACAAAGTAGCAACAAAAATAAGTTTATGGTTGGGGTCACCATACCATGAGGGACTGTATTAAAGGGTCACAGGGTTTGGAAAGTTGGGAACCACTGCTCTAGAAGTATATCAGACTCTCATGCAAGGAAGGCCTTCCAAGCTGAACCCATGTTCCCCTACAGTCTGTTAGACCCTCTTGTGAGGACATCTTAGGTAGGGGACTACACCCCACAGACAGTGAGGAGAACAGGAAGGGTGCTCATCTTCAGCAAGGATCAGCAGCACCTTGTTCTTCCACACTGAAGAGGCCACTAAGGAAGGACTCATACTGAGGGCCTTACACCCACAGTACATACATTGTGCATGAGTTTTGAGCTTTAGAACTTAGGGAGTGTGGGAGCTTACTGTCTGAAGCATACAGGTGCCTCCATAAGGTGGTGATGGGTATAGGAGTCTGCCCCTCCTGGGGACTAGAACAAGCAGCACAGCATGGGCAGCCCTGCAGAGGGAAGGGGCAGCCCTTCAGCAGAGTGTTCCCGGAGGGGGTGTGATGGCTCAGGTCCTGACCCTGTAGTTGTGGAGAGAAATGAGGAAATACTGGCTAAACCAAAGTCTACCTCTGTGTGCGGTTATTTGGGGTGTCCTTAGCAGGGAGGAGAGAGTCTGATATGGTAAGAAACAGAAATGGGCCTCTATCCTGTGATGGGCAGAGAGGGTTGCCTTCTGCTCTGAGGACTGCTAGATTGATGCAAACTGTGGGTAGACAGCAGGGAAGGGAGCAGAGGAGCCACAAGTAACAGACCCACAGTGCCCAGTCAGGGCGGCTACCAAGTCACAGCTCTGATTATAGGTGGCCCCAGTCTCAGGTCTATGAGAGTGAGTCAGGAAGGTGGTACATCTATTCAGAGAAGCAGGCATGGTCTGACATTGGTCAGATCTGTGAAGAGATTGTTGCCTATGAAATACACTGTATGCTGGTAGGAGTTACATTTGTAAGCAACCCTGAATTTTTGTTTTGTTTTGTTTAAAATCTTTTATTACACTTTTTATTTTTTGTGTGTTCATGAGGAAGGATGGAGCTCAGAAGATAGACAACATTGTGGAAATTGGTTCTCTCCTACGCCTAACCAACCTGGTATTTTCTTTTTTTAATCTTTTTTTTTCCTTTCTTTTCTTTTCTTTTCTCTTCCTGCCATTTGGAGACAGGGTTTCTCTGTGTAGCCTTGGCTGTTCTCTAACCCACTGACATCCGTCTGCCTCCACCTCCTGAGTGCTGGGTTTAAAGGCATGCGTCACCAATGCCCAGCATCAACTTGGTAGTTTCTAAACTGTGTTTTACATGTTGTTTCCTTTGTCATTGACACAAGCCATGATGTGCAGGTGGCAGACATCGAAACTGAGGCCTTTGGGTGGCTTGCTCTGATTTAATAGTGGAGTAGATCTTGAGCTACATAGTCACTGTCTTATCTCTGCTGGCATATACATATCAGCTGGGAGTGGCTAGGTTTGGAGGACCTACATAAATTTGGCTTTAACAGATTTTCAAAATATTGTATAAAATTGCTTTTACAAAAAATGTTACTATGGTCATGGGAAAGCAAGCTGATGGTGAATGCTAAATAGAGTTGCAGTGTCATTGCTTTGGATTTTCTTCATTTAATTATAACAAAAACATGCAGTGTAAACAAGGATGTAATTTATTCAGTTCACACGTAATTGGCACATTGCTTTGTGTTGTTTTCTAGCAGGTTGCGGCTATGTATGTTATGCTATAAACTTACTTTACCATCCTTGAAGTAACACATTTACATGTGTATTGTTACCTGCACATCTTTGCTTTGGTGCACTTTTTTACAAAGTAGTGTAATGCCCATGGCGTCTCCAGCCCTGGGGATTTACGTCAAGGAGCACTGTCCAACCCCTCTGTACAGAGTCAAAACTCAGCCATTGGCCTTCTCTGGGCACTTGGTGGGGACGCCTCCTCCCTCTGCTTTAACTCATTAAGTCATTTGAACAAGTTTGGTCTTCCAATGTGGAGGATATGTCCTTAATTATGTTACTGAATTCTGAGGAACACTCCCCCCATGTTAGTTTGGAGAATCTCCTGAGTAGGAACTAATTGTCCCATAGTATACTACAGTTTCATAATGTGTGTTTTAAAATGTCTGCTAGGGACCAGCATGAAACCTCGTTTCTCAAAAGGCTTAAAGGGATCTGAAACACAAGCTCTGGAGGTAAAGGATGACACCTGGCTTCCCCGTCCAGCCGTTCCTCTTCTCCGGGGCTGGTGGGACCAACTAACTCGTTTATAGGCACATCTGACCCCCAGGAGAGTTTGGTGTTAGTCTGCCCTTGAAATAGCATCACTATCTACATTTGTTATCTACATCTTACATTTGTTGCAGAGAAAGCAGCAGCTGCCAACATAGATGAAGTGCAGAAGTCAGATGTGTCGTCGACAGGGCAGGGTGTCATCGACAAGGATGCGCTGGGGCCTATGATGCTTGAGGTACCATACCCTCATTTGGTTTTGTATTTTAAATGTTTTCAGTATTTGTGTGCTACATTTAATTTCAGGTGAATATAATTTAAGTAGAATCCATGCTCCTGTGCTTACTAATGTATGTGACTGTGTCTGTCTATATTTGAGTTTTTGCCTCCTGTACATGTATGTTTGAAAGTAACAACATAGAATTAAAATAGGTGAGAATACAAGCTACCAACTTCATTGCAGGTGAGCACTCATTTTCCAAAGCTGTGCTTACAAGCCGTGTGAAGTTCCACGAGATCCGTTCCTCTGGTCAAGGGCCTCTGCTCTATAGACAACTTAAGATGTGACAACCAAAGAGGTTGATGCTTTTAGGACTGTTACTTCTGACTAGCTCATTTGAAATAGGATGAAAAAACTTTGTAAAAGCGTAACAGAGTGGCTGGTCTTGGCAGCCTTAAGGCAGCTACTGTCTCAGGTTTATAAAACCTTCCTTAGTTTTATTAGCTAGTTCTAAACACAAAGTGCCTGGCTGTCCCTATTTAAAATTAAAATTCAAGATGTGGGCTATGGTAAGATGAGAGAAAAAATGTCACTGAATAAAGAAGCAGAGATGCCGAGACATAAATTATGTCCGTGCTCAGAGTAATTTGCTCTGCTGATGACATTCTGAGCTCGAAAGACCACGTGGCCAGAGCTGCAGCATTGTCGTCTTGGAAGCTCTATGCCTGCTGCAGCGCCCACGTGGAAGTAAGAACTAGGATTTTTAAAATAATGCTAGCTAATACTCTCTTGACCTTATTGCCCCTTTCCTCATAAAATAGTTTTTGTTTTTAGAAAACTTAATTCTATAGGAACCTGCTTTATAATTGGGGGCTGGAGATGGAAGAATAGCGCTCGCCCAACACAGTCTTTGCATTCAGAAATAACAAAATTTATTCCTTGGGGCTGGACGTGCTAGCAAAAACCTTTAAATGACCCAGGTTGGCCCTTGTGTGAGGGCACTGCATTTAACCAGGTCTTCCGTATGCATCCCAGCAGTCGAGGAGCACTTCCCGCTTGGTGCTGAGAAGCAGTAAACAGGGTCGTGACGATTTAGAATTACATAAAAGAAGTGCACAGCTTCCTTTGGAAGAACTTCTGAATTTCAAGCATAAATTTGCTTGGAATTTTTCCATTTAACTTGTTTGTTCGTTATGTCTGGGGAGTAGGAAAGAACACTGGAGACTCTCGAAAGACCTCTGAGGCTTCTAAAAGGAAATGCTTAGAGCACCCACAGGCTATAGCTCAGCCCTTGAGAACAAGTTCGTTAATTGTAGAAATTGGATTGCTGTATGTTAGTGGCCCAGATCTCATAAAATCAAACTAAGATTTTTATGTTTGAAAATTATCTTCTGAGAATTGAATGCATAGAGCAAGCACCTGTGTAGAATCTTAGTAATGAATAAATGTATTAGGGTAGACGTACCTGAATCCAGTGGCTTATGGTTTAAATTGAAACCTTTATCCCTGATTACATGTAATCATTTAAACAAGGAAAGTATGTTCTAGGCATAGATGCACACTCATGCTTGCATCATGGCATAGTCGTTGCTAGGCAACAGAAACAAATGTCCGCTTTTCTCATCACACCATATCATAGTGAGCTTTTAAAAACACAAACAGTTTTGTAAGAAGGGCGACTTTCAGCTTTCAGTTTTATTAGGCTACAAATCAGCCTTCTTACGATGGTACCAAGCCAGAAGAAGGGATTTGCTCTTTCAAAAGCCTGAGGATGTCTGCTGATTGTCCAGCAGAAGCAGCGAAGTAACAAGGGACACGCAGTCTCTAAATGGACGTATGTTCTTTCCTGTGTCCCTGCCAGCACATGCCTATGTACACCGATTGGTGCAGTCTGTGTTCATGCCGTTTACATATTTATACCCTTGCTTTACCGTGTATATGGTTCGTATTACAGAGAAAAACTGACAGAATATTTACAAAAAAAATCTAAAACCAAGCAGTGTTTTTCTGTTTGATTTGGTTTAGGTCTTTGCTTCATTGTTGTTGTTAACTGTTTGAAGACAGGTTCTTGACGTGTAGCTCAGACTTGCCTTGAACTCACGGTAGTTCTCATGCCTTAGCCGCTCGGGTGCTGGGATTATTGATGTGTGCCACCATACCCCGTTTACCTTTCTTTCTTTTCTAAACAACTCACTTATACCTTAGGATCAGTTTTAGATGAAAGAGCACCTAGTTTTGTGATGACAATAGAATTAAAAACAGTATAGATTATTTCAAAGCAACTAACAAAACAGAAGCCTCTTGCATAAGCAGACTAAGGAGACCAAGTGTTTCAGACCATCCACTGTACATTAATGTTACAAATGCAATAGATATATATCACAAAGAAACCAAGTGGTGTAATCTCATTGGGAAGGCAGATTTGAGCAGTATGCAGCCTTTTTAAGTCCTGAATCCCATGAGGTCTGTGAAACAGAACTCCGATTAGTAAGGAAATGAGTGACTGGACATGGAGCCATCACTGCCAGTGCAGACAAGAAGGATCCGGCTTCAGAGTTAGGTACCTTGGGTTTGGCTATTGGGCAAGAGGACATCAAAAGGAGACCGTGTGCCTGCAGCAGAGTAAACATAGCCCATAGCTGTCATTTATCTTCGCTTCCTACAACATTTTAAACTCAACTCTTTGTGCTGTCTAGACTGAAGTAAGACGCAGTGAGACAGTGAGCCTCCTTACAGGATGCATGCTACCAGCACTGAGATGACTTAGACACCTGTTCTTATCCTGAGGCGCTCTCAGCCCGTGCTGCCATCCCCACGAGTCCCTTGACACCAGACAGTGAAGGCCGGATGTCGCTTTAAAGGTCTAAGACCATCTGTGATTTCACTTAAACCCTGGCATGTTTAAAAGTTGTAAAAATTAGGGGATTTCCCCTGGTACTTAATTTAAAACTGAGAGAAAAAGAATGGTCACAGGCCTTTCTCTCAGCATATCTTGCAGAAGTGTGGGGAAAGTTCTGGTGTAGCTTGCACTAGCCTTGTGGAGTCCGTCCGTCCTGGTCTGAAAAACAGGGAGCGTCCTGTACGTGCTTATTTACCAACAGCTGTTTCCTGGTAGACCAACAAACTTGGTGTTTGTGTTTTGGTTCTAACAAGAGGCCCTCCTCTAACCTCTCCTCCAGCTGCATGGCTCTGTGTGGCTGTGTCTGTGCTGACGCTGCTGATCTTTTCCCTTAGGCCCTCGATGGCTTCTTCTTTGTGGTGAACCTAGAAGGCAACGTTGTGTTCGTGTCGGAGAATGTGACACAGTACTTAAGGTATAACCAGGAAGAACTGATGAACAAGAGTGTCTACAGCATCCTGCATGTTGGGGACCACACTGAATTTGTCAAGAACCTGCTGCCAAAGTCCATAGGTAAATGGAAGCTGATCCCCTGCAGCCTCCCTTCCCCTCTCTCATATTTTCTTGGTGTGAGTGAGTACATAGGACTGTGTTGTGTCATGGGTATAACGGCCACTGTAAGGATTCCAGATAGGAGTCATGGGTGCCATCGCTGATCCTGAATGAAGGACCATGTTGATCTTATATAGGAACGATGTGAAAATAATTCAAAATGAAAGTACTTCTAGCAGTCATTGGCAGAGGTGTTTTCTATATTTTAAAACAACTTGAAACCTTTACCCACGTCACCACGACCAACCAACTTGAATAGTCCATTTTGCTATCACCACCTGAAAAATGGGCCATGACATATTAAAATTTGGCTCTCATGGAGTTCCGTGTGGTGTATATGTGTGAAGTGCATGTAGAACGTTCTAAATATGAACACTGGGGCATGTACACAGTCTTTTTCATGTTAGTCTCTTGAGCAGCTCTGCAGATGCCATTGCAGAGCTTAGCCCATCCCATGTCTCAAGTTTTCTGATGGCAAAATGTTTTGGAGATGCTGTGCAGAAGTGCACATGGTGGGTGTGGGCCAGCATTGTCAGTGGGCACATCACGGCATACGCCTGCCTTGGTTGCTGTTTCCACTTACTTCTCAGTCTGGATTAATAAGAACTTTTCCCTTTCTTCTTCGATAGCTCTGTGTAATCTCCATTATGTGACTAGCTTTCACAAGTGCTGATAGCGAAATGAGCTTTGTCTTCTGAGCTCTCAAAAGCTAGCTGCGCCTCCTCCTCCATCGAGAGTTAGAACGGTGACTTGCAGGAGCGGGAGAGACTTGGGCTTTCTACTCTCTAGAGTCACTCTCCTTGCCAGCCTATGAACAGGCTCTGACATTGGGTCCTCTGTGACACCCACTGCCCCTGGTGTTCTCTGGCCACTGACTGCTTTCCTTAGGTTGTCTTTCCCTTGGGGGATGGTCAAGGAAAGACCCAGAGTGAGATTCAGGGTGGTCCTAGTGCAGCTCTTCCACCAGCTGCACATTTCCCTGGCAGTCGGTTTCCTCCTGAAGTCCATCTCTTTGGTCCTCTCTTTAGAAATCCAAATCAGGATCTGGGTGGTGGTGGCGCACGCCTGTAATCTCAGCGCTCAGGGGGCAGAGGCTGGTGGATCTCTGTGAGTTTGAGGACAGCCTGGTCTACAGTGTGAGTTCTACGGTAGGCTCCAAAGCTACACGAAGAAGCCCTGTCTTAAAAAGAAGAAAAGAAACCCATACCGAAAATCATTGTTTTCTTTCTTTCGCTGTTTTCTCTAATATGTTTCAGAAAACATTGATGCCTTTCCTTTAGTTCAGCGACTTTCAAAACACACTTTGTAATTTTGATGGTAAAACAGGAAGTGAAGTTGTTTTCACTTGACACCGTGTCAGCAGCACTTTGTCTTCAAGAATTTTTAGTTCCACTGAGGAAGGCTACACTGTTATTGGATGGGTCAGAAGCAGACAAGTTAGAAAACATACTCTCAAGTTTGGCAGCAGTCTGAATAAGAGGAGGGTGTCTCTCACAGAGCACCCTGCCATGGTGCATGTAGCTCAGGGAAGAAGTAGTAGTGGAGACAGCAGGAATCATCCATGTGGCACTCGGGGCAGAGTATGGACAACCCTACCAACTCGATGGGGCGGGGCTTCTCAGTGAGTTTGGGGCCATTTAGTAAGAGTGTTGTCATCATCCTGACAACTACAGTCCAAGTCCTCTGGAAAATGTTGATGCCATTTGCAGAGTTTTGACAGGTGTTAGCACCTCAAAAACCAGAACACAAGCAGACTAACTAGAAACCCAAAAATCGAGCATTCAGTATTTTAGTAATAAGTAGTGAAAGCATGCATTTGAAGAATAGCGGCCAGGATGAAAGTTGTGGAGTATAGAAGACATTTTGAAAAGCCCAAGTTTCTGAGTTACAAAACATTGTTGTGTGGTTCATGAAAGTATCTGAGAAGTGTCAAGCACCATGTAGTAACTCTTACATTATATTATACATTAATATTATTAATACATTATATTATTACATTATATTAGCCCTTTCTTCTTATCTATGTTAGCCATGTGGTTCGGTACCGTATTGGGCGAGGCAGTCACATCTTGCTTCTTCTGTGGCTGGGTCACAACTGTGACTAGGAATTTCTTCTTTCCAGAATTCTCCTGTTCTCTTCCTGTCTGGTTTTTTCGCCTATATTTCCTGCCTGGCTACTGGCCAATCAGTGTTTATTTAAAATATCAGTGACAATACAGACCATTGTCCTACACCACTTCCCTCTCTTTTTTAGAAAAACAATAAGAACTCTGAATCTAATATCCTTTGTTTTTAGTTTTTCTCCTGACCATTATCCATAACAACTTGTAAACAACATTTTAAACAAAGAAAAATATCCATAGTCCAGTTTTTGGGAATATGGGCGTAGTTTTCCTGGCTACTTCCTGTTGGTTGGGGGCGCTGATAATCTTATGAGGACCTAAAGAAAATTTAAAATTATGAGCAAGTCATGACTAGCGTATCCTGTGAGGGTTGATCATCTCAAGCGGCAGTCTTGAATTGTTCTGGATATAGAACTCAGACATCTGGGCTATCTGTTTCTACCGGAGATTTCTTGGGTGGTCTTCCTTGATCAAACCTGATTTTTCTTAACTCAGAATGAAACCACAGCCTCTCATTTCCTGTGGAAACAAAAGCAAGTCCTCTTCTCCAAAGTAACATATTTTTTTACTTCAATTTTGAAGTCAAGGTATTTTCAAACTACCTGTCTTGGATTAATTCAGCAGCATTTATAAACAAGCATCTTTTAGCAGCTGTTGCTCCTTAGCATTCAAACAATTCAAAGAGAACATAATAACATACAGTTACCAGACTCCCTGTGTATTTTTCATCTTTGCATGGCTTTATTTTCACCTCTATTTCTTTTATTTTTAATTTTTGGCTTTTTGAGACAGGTTTTCTCTGTGTATGTTTAGCTATCCTGGAATTCACTCTGTAGACCAGGTTGTCCTTGAACCCATAGAGATCTGCCTGCCTCTGCCTCCCAAGTGTTGGGATTAAAGGTGTGCACCACCACACCCAACTACTGACCTGAATCCTTTATTTCTTTGTAATCTTGGGTCCCTTTTGCCTCGCAGTGAATGGGGGATCTTGGTCTGGTGAACCTCCCAGGCGAAACAGCCATACCTTCAACTGTCGGATGCTGGTGAAGCCTTTACCCGATTCAGAAGAAGATGGCCATGAGAACCAGGAAGCGCACCAGAAATATGAAGCTATGCAGTGCTTCGCTGTGTCTCAGCCTAAGTCCATCAAAGAGGAAGGAGAAGGTAAGATGGACCCTGGGATCGCCTTAGTAATCACAGGGTGGTGCTCACACAGAGGAAAGCGGGAGGCAGTTCCTTGATTCTGTCCCATGTTTACTATTTGTGTAGTTTAATCTTTTCCTCTACATCGTTGGATGGGGTGAGGGTGGGGTTGAGCTTGTATGCGCATAGCAAGCATTCTACCTCTAAGTTATATCTCGATTTAAAAGTGTTCTGTGGTGATCAATGTGGGGTATCTCCGTGTCCTGCAAGGCAGCCAGGAGTCACATGAAAACCACATTCAGGGGCATGTGTGCTTGGTGATCATGGCACTTCTGCAGCTCTGACAGTGGCTGTGTAGAGGATCCTGGATTGCTTTGAACACCGAATGCAAATCTTATGCCACAGACCAAGAAGCATGTACGTGGGTACAAGCAGCATTTTCCATAGACTTCCTGGGGAGTGATGGAATCTATGTAACTTATTTGGACATCAGATCTTCAGTGGTATAATAGCAAAGTAGACAGACATAGGAGTGAAGAGTAGAGGGCTTTCAGGTGCATAAGCTTACTGGGCTGCTATGTGTGGTGAGATGCTGATGTCATGTCATCCCTTGCCCTTCCACCAGCTAATTCACACACTAAACTATAAGTGAATCTTTAGTATAAGATGTTGCAGAAAGCACTCTGTGGGAGTAACAAGTGAACGAGCTTTTGACCCCACTCACAGAAATATTCTAGAGAGAAATCAGACAGGCCAACTCCTAATTTAACCATTAGCTCTGGCTGTGGACAAATTCTTTAATGTCTCTTTTATTTATTATCAATTTATTGTGCGAGTATCAGAAGTTAGTACAGAATGGGGATTAAGGTGTAAATCGGGTCAAGTGCTTCCCTGATGTTTGTGAAGCCCTGGATTCAGTTCTCGGTATGTGTACACACATACACACACAGGACTCGTGATTATTGCTAATCTGTAGTTGCCACTGAATATTAGCTTAGTACTTCTTAATAAAGTGTGTAAATCTTTATTTTAAATTTAAATTTTATCAGAAGGAATCATAAAGAGTTATCAGAAGATATTTGGTATTTCAGATTTAGCCTGTGTTTGGGTCAGTTTCATTCTGTTCCTTCATAAGAGGAAGCACTGTAGATCGGCCATGATATTCCAAAGGCGTATAAGGTACACTTGTGTCAACTACTGTTATGTACTAGAGATGAGAACATGTGGATTCTGGCCGAAGATGCAGCTCTTGAGAAAGTGCTTGCCCAGCACACACAAACCCCTGGGTTCAATCCGCTAAATCACATAAGATCAGGCATTGTCATGTAATCCCAGCACTCAGGAGATAGATGAATCAGAAAGGTAAGGTCATCCTTGGCCACACATAGCAAGTTTAATGCTGGCCTAAGATGTAGCAGACTCTATCTTTAAATTAATTAACTAACAAAATTGGATTTGAGGCAGTGTGGTGGTGCACACCTCTAATCCTAGCACTTAGATAAAATCCAGTGCATTTAAGGTGATACAGTCATAGTAACCCTAGCATGCAAGAGATAAAGGCCAGAGATTGAGGCCAGCTTGGTATACAGGTGCATCCAGGCCAGCCAAAGGGGCATAGCGAGACTCTTACCTCAAAAGGATAAGAAAGAGGGGTGGGGTTCTGTCTGTTCCTGAAATATGTAGCATAAGCAAGGGCTTCTTCTCTCTCTGTGTCTCTCTCTCTCTTTCTATCTCTCGCTCTCCCTCTCTTCCCTCTCCCCGCCCTGAGACAGGGTTTCTCTGTAGCTTTGAAGCCTGTCCTGGCACTAGCTCTTGTAGACCAGGCTGACCTCGAACTCAGAGATCTGCCTGCCTCTGCCTCCCGAGTGCTGGGGTTAAAGGTGTGTGCCACCACTGCTCAGCTACTCTTTTCTTTGTTTCCTCTTCCTTTTATTGTAACTACAATACTGAGCCTTGACCTCATGGTCTTGCAAATTATAGGGAGTGTTCACCCCTGAGCCACGTACCCCACTTCCCATGATGCTTACATTTTAATCTAAAGATACAGTCTATTACTCAATAAAGCCCACCCAGTAAAGGAAAGAAAACCTCCCAAGTTTAAATGTGAACAATTGCAAGGCCATGGTGTAAGATCTTATGAGCCTGTTATTTCTGTAGCAGCCTTCCCTCAGCCTTTCTTTAACTTAGAAGAGCCATTCCATGTACTCTGCATGTTATAAAGTATATAAAACATGTCACTGCCCCCCAGAAGTTAGCTCTCATAGAGAAAACAATGGAAGCAGCGGCTGAGTTGTATCAACGGTTAGGAGCTCTGGCTGCGCTTTAGAGGACACATGTTTAATTCTCAGCACTCACTTGGTAGCTCACAGCCATCTAGAAATCCAGTTTCAGATCTGTCAACCTGAAATCCACAAGCGCGAGGCATGTAAGTTATACACAGACATACATGCAGGTAAAACATCTAACCACAAAAACTGAAGTGGGGGATGAGGTTAAACGTTAACGGCGGCTGTGCGGAGCTCTCCGTGTGCAGTGGAGTGTGCTCTGGACCTGCATTCGTTCACATCTCATCGTCCCATCACAGGTACCTCACACACTTTAGGAGTGAACCTAAAGCTAAGAAGCAAAGTCCTGATCAACAGGATCCTATTTTAGTTTTTCTTTTTTGCTTTACTTTACTTTATTATGAATTTTGTTTTTATGCTCAGTGACTTAGCAAGAGTGGAGCCCATCTTGACGTCCCAGTTTCCAGTCAGTGCCTCCTTAGTGTGTCGGTGAACTCTGAACACGCGTGCTCCGTAGCTTCGCCATCTGTCCTCTGATGCTCCTCCCCAGCAGCTGCCTCCCATTAGAGCCTCGCCGGGCAGAGGGGCGTGGCCACACCCACTGATTTCCACGACTGTGCTGGCATAGATATCGGAGTGATTTACAAGTAGAAATCTTTATCATATTAACAACTGTGTCCTGTTTAAGATTTGCAGTCCTGCTTGATTTGTGTGGCCCGAAGAGTCCCCATGAAGGAAAGACCAGCCCTTCCCTCATCAGAGAGCTTTACCACCCGCCAGGACCTCCAAGGTAAATCCTTGTCAAAGAAGACAAAAGCAGTCATTTCAGAACACCTAGATGCCTGGATACAAGGACTGTCTCTGAGAAACCATGGTATTTAAGCTGTGGTAGCCGTGACTGCTGGGGTGGGAGTGCTGAGGGAGGGGCAAGGCTCACAGAGGGGCAGGCTGCCTTCACTGGGTGTCGTCCTGGAGGTGTATTTGTGCAACCAGCTCCATTTCTACAGCTTTCTCTGTGTGGCCAACCAACCCCAGATCAAAATGATTCAATTTTTAAAAATTGAATTGTTCTGAATATATTAAATAGCAGTGATTTAAAAGTATTGGGGGGAAAGGGAAGCTAGATGTGATAGCACATACCTAAAACCAATCCAGTTTAAGGCCAGCCTAAGCTGGATAATGTGTCCCAAATTAGAATGGACTATATCAGAAGAATAAATAAATAGAATTAATAAAATAAAAATACACAGGAAGATAGAGAGGTTATATTCATATCCTGTTTCATTTTACGTAAGAAGCTTTAGTGCCTGTGCGTTTTAGTATCCATGAAGTCTGAGATGAATACCCACAGATTCAGGCAATGACTCTGAGTAAATAGTAAATAGATGGATTCTTAAGTTTCACTTGTTTTTCTAGAAAATGGGCCTAGTAAATGTAATGCCATTATCTCATAGGCAAGATCACTTCTCTGGACACCAGCACCATGAGAGCTGCCATGAAACCGGGCTGGGAGGATCTGGTGAGAAGATGCATTCAGAAATTCCACACGCAGCACGAAGGGGAGTCTCTGTCCTACGCAAAGAGGCATCATCACGAAGGTAGACCTGTGCGCTTCACTTGATAGGAACTTTTTTTTAAATATTTATTTATTTATTATGTATGCAGTGTTCTGTCTGTCTGTATGTTTGCATGTTTGCTGCCCTAAAAAGGGTACCAGATCTCATTATAGATGGTTATGAGCCACCGTGTGGTTGCTGGGAATTGAACTTAGGAACTCAGGAAGAACTATCAGTGCTCTTATACCTCTAAGCCATCTCTCCAGGCCATTAGGAACTTTCTTTAGTTGCTTGGGAGGATGGTCCACCCAGAAGATTCCTGAGTCTTGCCTCCCAGAGCTTCTGTGTCCTGTTCTGGTGCTAGCCCAATGAGCAAAAGCTGATAATGTCATAAAGAAGGGGAAGGTCATTTTCTGTGATCCACAAGACAACAAAGTTCTGTGTAAGCTAAGGATCTTGTTCCTGAGGGCAGTCTGGAAGGAGAAACAGATGAAATTCGCAAGAGTGAATAAATACCAAACTTTCTCAAGGTACAAACAGCAGACTCCAGATGTTTCCAGGAGGCCCAGAGAGGCAGCATGGCCTGCTCTGGTCAAAGACTAAAAGGACAGCAGAAGTAAGCCAACACTCCAGCCGTCTCCCGGTGCATTCGACCCTTAATGAACACCGCCTTGGCCTTGTTCTTTATTGTTTCATCATCCCCAAACCAAGCCCATGAGGTGGACATCTCAGCCCCCTGCCCCCCTTCACTCCCTGAGACCCAGCAGCGGAAGTGACTAGCACCTGGGCATGCAGACAGTGTCAGCTGGTGACTTCTGCAGGCTACACACCCACCCTGGTGGTCATGCTGTCATGTTCTCCTGAAGTCGCATTTTCTCAAGCGCATTTGATTTTCTTTAGAACAACTGAAGACAAAGAACAGAATTCTTTTAAGCTTTACCAAAAGCTGAGTGGGGAAGGAGGGCTGGCCAGCCCGCAATTGGCCAGCATTGGCTCCATGGCACATGAGAGACCATGGGCAGAGTAAGGCATCTCAGACCTCAACATAGGCAGTTGTCTGTCTCTGCAGAAGAGAATCTGTGCCAAATGTGTGGGAAATGGAGCTGTAGTTTGTCATGGTTTAGTGTGCATCTGTGACCTTGGTTTTTTAACTAGAGAGGTTTGTATATTGAAGCTTTATGTTTTTGAGGCCACTTAATGTAGAAGCACAGACATAGTGAATGTACTCTTGCTCCCATTTGCTCCCCACATCTGTATCTTGTTCATCCTAATTTCCGACATTGTTCTTACCATTAGAGTAAGGGCAAATATAGATGTTATATTTGACAGAAATCAGTATTTAACCTACTGTTTACCTTAAGATAATGGCTTGAAATAAAACCAGAAAGAGCGACCTTTGGCAAGCATGTTCAGCCTCCCTGGATCCTGAATACCTTTCATTTATTATTATCATTATTATTTATTATTTTTATTATTTATTATCCTGAATGCCTTTCATTGCCTAGCTTCCTGCTTCCTTACAAGGGAGTTTATATCGATGTACCAGGTGGTATACCAAGTTTAGAGGGATAGGAAGTTTAGACTGGAAGGAAACTGAACATAGATAAACAAAACAGGTAATGCCAGAGCCCACGCAGTATCTCAGAAAGAGTGCTTGCCAGTCACTCATGGGGACCTTAGTTCAGATCCCCAAGAACTCATATAAGAAAACAGGTATGGCTATGTGCTTGCTCACTTTAAACCCCTGCACTGTGGAAGGGGAGACATGATTGCTAGGGCTTTCTAGGCACACATAGGTACACACGCATCACACATACACACTCATACATACCCACACAAAAATAAATCTATAAATAATTTTTTTTAAAAAAAAATTCGTAATACCAGAGGTTTCCAACTGCACCAAGTAGAAACCTGCTTGAAGGTTTTCTTTGAGTTTGGGAGTGTTCTGAATGACTGGGTATGCTCACACATTGCTCCTTAGCATGCAGGCCAAATGGAAATGGAAGATCTTTAGAGATCACAACGAAGGTCAGAAGAAATCTGAAATTATAAGCCTCTAAGAATGTGAGTCCTTTACACAGTGATATTTCTGCTACCTACAGACAAACTCATGCTTATTTTGCAAAACATCACACACATAGAATAATAACTGATTCCTAGTACGGCCTGGTAGTTTTCTTATGTAGCAACTTATTTTTATCACTATTTTTTCCTGAATTAAAATCTTCTTATATGAAATGTTCATTTTAAAATACAGTTCTAAAATATAAAAAACAGTTCAGTCAGGCAATAAATCTCAAGATTATTTTAAGAGAAACTGCATTAAGCCAGTTGATTTGCTTTGTATTTCTTGTCTTTATAATAGAAGTATTAGGCCTTTATCTGTAAGGTAATGTGGTTACTCTTGCTAAGATCTGCAAGTGGCTTTGGTTCTGTTTGCCTTTTCTTCTGAAAGATGAAGATTTTTACCTTTACTCCTGTTGCCCTGAGCATGGAAATAACACTTAGCTGTACTGTGAGAAACAGAATTTAGGAAAGGCAGTATGAGGTGAAGGATTGAACAGGTCACCTCAAGATGAATATTCAGACGACACATTCGTAAATCTTATTCTGTTATTTACACTGTAAAGGGAATCAAAAGGACAGATTATGCTTGGAGAAACCATGGTTTGGCATTGTGGTGTTTTTTGATATTGTTTGGAAATTACAGAAAGACTTATTTTGACCTGATAAACAGTTTACACTCACTTTTCCCCATTATGATGATCTTTATAACCTGTACTTTTTTAGCATGCTGGTAGGAAATCTTATGAAATTTATCACTAATGTCTTGATAGTCCTCCCTTGCTCAACTTTTCCTGATTTGCTTTTTTTTTTCTGTCTTTTTTAGTGTTTTTCTAAACATGCCTTCTGTTTTCTTTTTTGCCTGCAGTTCTGAGACAAGGCTTGGCATTTAGTCAAATCTACCGTTTTTCTTTGTCCGATGGCACTCTCGTTGCTGCACAAACGAAAAGCAAACTCATCCGTTCTCAGACGACTAACGAGCCTCAGCTTGTAATATCCTTACACATGCTGCACAGGTAATTGTCCACTAAGCCTCAGTTTCCCTTCCCCGGTGGAGAGAAGTGCTGCACGAGCAGTATGCTACCGTGTAGCCCCTCGGGTTCCGCGGACTCCTGAACTGCAAATGAGATTGTTGTTAACTCTTAGCCAGGCTGCCCTTTTCATTTAACATTAAGAGCACAGGGGTTTTGTTGGGAGGCAGAGGCAGGTGGATCTTTGAGACTTGGAGGCCAGCCCCGTCTATATAACATACTCTGGAACAGCCAGAAATACATAGAAAAGACCTGTCTCAAACAAAAGAATACAGGGATTGCCTTCACCCTCCTGTTACAGTCAAGAAGGGAAATTCCCAGGGGCCAGCGCAGGTGAGATCAGGAAAATTGAAGCCAGTGCTTAGATTTCTAATCCTGTGTGCTTAAACCTTCAAATGTATATTCTTAGAAGATGATTTTTGATTTTTGTTCCTGTGTTTAAATTTCCTTCTCACAATAGACTTTAAATTGAATGGTAGGAACCACTTCTATAGTAAAAGAAAGAAAATTGAATGTTGATTTTAAATAAATGTCAGAGAACATATTGTTTTAGATGCTCATTTAGGAAAATGATTGAATTTCAGATTCTATAAATGTTTATGTATATGCTATGGGGAACTTTATGAGGTGCTGCTAGGATATATATATATATATATATATATATATATATATATACACTTGCTATGCTTAAAGAGTTCCATTTTATTGAACTTCTCAGTTATTTTGCTTTCTAGTACAGGAATTAAAAAAATAGGCAGCTGTAGCTTCTAACTGTTAGTAAATCTGACCTCAGGTTGAGACTGTTAAAAGTGATTAGAGATGGCACATTTCACTCCCCTCCACACACATACACACACCTTAACTGAAGCCGATGCTTGACAATCAGTAAACATGTTTGGTAACTCATAACAACTGCCAAAGCTGACTCAGAAGCTCATGGGACTTGGGAGACCTGCCTGTAAGCATCAGTTAAGGAGATGGATTGGACTTTTCCTGGAATGGGAGGGGGAACAGTTCAAATCACAGACTGTGCCACCCCAGGACCCCTCCACAGTGCATTCTGTCTTCCTTTAGCCTGCAGTGTCAGCAGAGAGACCTTGTATCTGTTATACAAAAGAAACAATACCCACCAGAGTAATTTCTACTGCCTCTGATCTGACCATCTCTAACAACTCAGGCCTCTATCCACCTTGAACCATGTGATAGCTCTAAGACTCTAGGCATACAGGTGTGCTCACTGTTGGGAGTTGAGTCTGTGCTTATTTGGGTCATCTCTTTAAGGCTGTACAAGCTCTCAGTTGCTCATGAAGAAGATACATAATTGGAATCTTTTCTAATATCTTGTTTGCTTGCTGAAATTTCAATATGGAAGTAGTTGAATTTAACACACACACACACACACACACACACCCTTCAGTAAAACCACAGACATCTTGATGAGTTGCCTGAGAAACATCTCTCTTGTTCCAGCACTGTACGTGTTCAGTCTAGTCTAATTGCAGGTGTTTTCATCCAAGTCTTGCCTATCCCTTAGAGGTAGTCTGCTTTTGTAAAGAAAAGAGACCCTACCATTTTTTTAATTAATAACAATTTGCTGGATTTTTTTTCCTTTTATCTTATATATGTTTCTTTCCTCATTATACAGAGAGCAGAATGTATGTGTAATGAATCCGGATATGACTGGACAAGCGATGGGGAAGCCATTGAATCCAATTAGCTCTAGCAGCCCTGCCCATCAGGCCATGTGCAGTGGGAACCCAGGTCAGGACATGACCCTCAGTAGCAATATAAATTTCCCCATGAATGGCCCAAAGGAACAGATGGGCATGCCTCTGGGCAGGTTTGGTGGTTCTGGGGGCATGAACCATGTATCAGGCATGCAAGCAGCCACTCCTCAGGGTAGTAACTATGCACTCAAAATGAACAGTCCCTCACAAAGCAGCCCCGGCGTGAACCCAGGGCAGCCCACCTCCATGCTCTCACCACGGCATCGCATGAGCCCCGGCGTGGCTGGCAGTCCTCGCATCCCACCCAGTCAGTTTTCCCCTGCAGGAAGCTTGCATTCCCCTGTGGGAGTTTGCAGCAGCACAGGAAATAGCCATAGTTATACCAACAGTTCCCTCAATGCACTGCAAGCCCTCAGCGAGGGCCATGGGGTCTCATTAGGGTCATCGTTGACTTCACCGGACCTAAAAATGGGCAATTTGCAAAACTCCCCAGTTAATATGAATCCTCCCCCACTCAGCAAGATGGGAAGCTTGGACTCCAAAGACTGTTTTGGACTTTATGGGGAGCCATCGGAAGGTACAACTGGACAAGCAGAGACCAGCTGCCATCCTGGAGAACAAAAGGAGCCCAATGACTCCAGCATGCACCAGGCGGCCAGCGGGGAGAGGGCCGAGGGACACAGCCGGCTGCATGACAGCAAAGGGCAGACCAAACTTCTCCAGCTGCTGACCACCAAGTCCGACCAGATGGAGCCTTCACCCTTGCCCAGCTCTTTGTCAGACACAAGCAAGGACTCTGCGGGTAGCTTGCCTGGGCCTGGGTCAACACATGGCACCTCGCTCAAGGAGAAGCATAAGATTTTGCACAGACTCTTACAGGACAGTAGCTCCCCTGTGGACTTGGCCAAGCTGACAGCAGAAGCCACAGGCAAAGAGCTGAGCCAGGAGTCCAGCAGCACAGCTCCTGGGTCAGAAGTGACTGTCAAGCCAGAGCCAGTGAGCCCCAAGAAGAAAGAGAATGCACTACTTCGCTATTTGCTCGATAAAGATGATACTAAAGATATTGGTTTACCAGAAATAACCCCCAAACTTGAGCGACTGGACAGTAAGACAGATCCTGCCAGTAATACGAAACTAATAGCTATGAAAACTGTGAAAGAGGAGATGAGCTTTGAACCCAGTGACCAGGTGAGTTTTCTAATGTCTTCTCCCAGTGCGCTCTTCTGTAGCATAGATTTTTCTCCAAGGTGACAATTTGTGACTCAGGAAAAATACTATTTTTGTTTGTACCAGTTAATTTGCGTGAAAGAGATTTCTCCACACTCCTCCAGCAAACAGTGACACGAGCACCAAGGGCTTAGAAGGCTGTGTAGCCTGCCTCTCAGACATTGAGCCCTCACACCGAGCAGCTGTGGGCACGGAGGAAGCGGGTGTGCTTGTGCTCTAGTGGGGTTACTTAGAGACCCAGTGGGAAACAGTTATGAGGGGCACGAAGTAGTCGTTAGAATTGGGGAGGTATCATTGTTTCTGGTATGAGCAATAAATGGTGGATTTGTCCTTAGGCCATAGGTCATACGTTAACAAGGGTGGGCAGGGTGAAATGCAGGCTGGCAGTAGATAGCTGACCCCTAAATTGGTGGCAGTCACTGTCTTAGTCTCAGGCTTTGTCAGAGCAGACTTTCGTATCTATTTATCTCTCTCTGACTATGATCAGAATTTAGCTACTTCTCATACCCAGTGAAGACCCTTCTGCCTCTCTTTTCTCTCCATGAGCCCTTCTGAGTAATGTAGAAGAGTCTCATTGACCGTTGGTTAAAAGAACACATAAGAAAAAGTGGATGGGTGGAGAAAGTTACCAGGGCCATTATGTATCAATTCAAAAAGGAATAATGGGTTGCTTTCTCTCCTTCACATCTTCAAAAGGTAACATCTTGAAGATAGTCCAGGGTACCTGAAGTAATGTGCAGAATCATCTTTTTTTTTTGACAAAAAGCAGTTCTTGTAATTATATCCTATGATCCACTATAGAATACTGCTATCAGACTAATTAACATATCACAAATAATTAAAAACAAACTACTCAATGCTCTTCAATATGCATTGTTACTGTTGCCACCACCTTGTACAACAGATCTCCTGAGTGTTTGATTCCTCCCCAGCACTTCAGCCCCAGCCCCTTAGCCATTCTAGACAGCACTTAGCGATGAGAAGAGCCCCTGGGAGAAAGCAAACCTTTGATATTTTCACTAGTTAAAAGCAAGCGATAGGTCATTGCAGCTGTGGTGGTGGACTGGAGGTTAGTGACCCAGCCTAGCCTTCCCGGGCCCTGACCGTGGCCGTCCTGTCTGGCAGTGGCAGACTCTTTTTGAATCATGGTTAAGCAGTGAGAAAATCACAAGGGCCTCTCTCCTTAGTTTGCCCTTGAAAGTTGGGCTGCAAGTCGGAAAGTAGTCTGTCACCAACCTCAGGAGGGCCAGACCCTCATGCTACACTGCGCCTGTGAGCCCCCTGAATCCACAGAGGCTGGATTTGGGTGGTAGTCTGGATGACAAAGGCCATGTGCTCCTCAAACCAGTCCCTGCCAGGCAGGCAGGCTCTGAGCAGTCGATGGCTGCTGCTGAACACATGGGAAGGAGACTATAATCGTGTTAGCAGTAGTGATTGATCTTGAGAATTGGGCCCCAGCACAAGGTTCTGTGCATCAGCAGAATAATTCATATTATCTTAGATAATGCTATGGAATTGTGAGTGGGGACCAAGGCACAGCAGAAAGGTAATCGCGGGGTCCTGTGTGATGTCCAGCGGAAAGCCTTATTTGGCAGGTGTGTTTTCATCTTTTCGAGATTTACTGGATTAGGTAACAGAGGTAGTGGCAGTTCAGAATGGCAGGCACAGGTCATGTCAGTTGGGTGTCTCAACATTCTTGATTCAGGAGATCCACTGAAGGCCCTCCCTCCATAGACAAAACTATTCTGTCTCAGGCCTCAGATGCTAGGAACTGAGAGGGACAAAGGAAGGGATTGCTATTTGTCATCACCTTGTTCTGGTATGTTTTCTCTAAAGTCAGACAAGAAAAGTTTGGGTTTTTTTGGTTTTTTTTTTTTTTGCAGGGGAGGGATTGTTTTTTATTTAAGTGAAATTATTTTCTAAGTAAAATTATCTGAGAAACAAAGAGAGTAGTGTGTAGTCAATATAAATATGTTGTTTGAAGATTAATAAAGGCAGGGTCCATAGGCGTGCGCACACACACACACACACAGGGATTGTATTTTCCTTGATGGAATCTAGCCCCTTGCTTATTCACCTTCTTGCTACTCTCTCCCAAACACCATCTAAAGTACATCTTCACAGGGCCATTTCAGCGTCAAAAACAGTAACGAGAAAAGTTACCACAGGAAGTATGCTTCACCTAAATTTAGATCAAAGTTAGCATGAGAGGAAAAAAAACAGTGATTCTCTCACCTCTGCTCTCCTTCCTTGTTCCCTAAGGAGGAGATCTCCTGCCACCTGCTGTCCAGGTTCCTTAGATTTTCAATTCAGAGGAATAAAATTAAGTACTTAGTAAGCAAAAACAGATAGGAAGCCTGGATTAACTGTCTCATTTTGACTCGAAAAAAAATTAACTGAATGTGTCTACTAACTTTTTAAGGTCGGGAAGTATTTTGGTGGCACGTATTATTATAACTAAAATAGCATTTAAAAATAGGGCAGAGCATTTAAACGAGGTGTTTTTACGACATTTACTAGCAAACAGGAAACAGAAACGGACAGAAACATTTCCAGTGTGTTTACTGCTGTAAGTCATGTGTTATTTACACAGTGGAGTATGGCTGGTACTCAGCCAAGGGGCTCTTCACTCCTGTGTTTTCCTGCTGCTCTGCCCACGGTGAGAGCCTGGAGAGGGCATCCTGTTGCTTGACTCCATTAGGAAGGCAAACCACATTTTAAACTGAGAGTGCCCAGGGAGTTACCCTCCAGATACAGTAGAATTCCTTCACAGTTCTCTGCTAAGCAAATGGGATAATACTGTATTTTTTATTTAAAATAGTTTCAAGAGGTACTTTGTAATTAATGAGCATGCTATGTCATTAACTCATGTGGTCCTTTATTTTCTTCAGAGAACGAGTTGAGTTGACACAAAAAAAAATTATAAAAACAGAAAATTGAAAACTTAAGGAAATCAAGTCTATTTTTCATTTTGTAGAACTTTTATAAAATCTTTCTGACTCACTTTCTGCCAAAAATAGTTGAAACTAAGTACTCAAATTGATGTGGCTAATTTGAGCATTCAGATGCCTAACTGAAACTTTGAAGTGTCTCTAAGGCATTTTAAAGGAAGGCATTGATCTCTTTGTCTTACAAAGAAAATATTCCTAACAAAGTTGGTAGGGTCTGAAAGACCTGTGAGATAGAAACTACAAGACTGTAGATTTTCACTCAGAAGCATCAAGTTACCCCATTTCAGCACTTCCAGAACTTACGTGAATAATGAAGATCAAGTGCTAAAATCAATCTGCCCAAGGAGTATGGATACTCTGAGACAGACCGATCTCCTTTAAGAATGTTTAAAATAAGCTTACAGCCAGCACTGTGGAGCACAGTAGAGGATTGTAAATTCAAGGTCAACCTCAGGTTGGGGGGGGGGGTAAGAACTGCGAACAAATCAGTGTTAAATGAATATTGTCAAATTGACAAGGAGTAAAGGCAAAGCAGTCTCTAAGAGTTCATGGTGCAGCTTGAGATGTTAACCTGAGTGAATTCAGATAGTCTACAGAGATAGTCCAGGCCAGTTTATAGGAACCCTACAGAGCTCTCCGGTCTGTTGTTTCTCAAGTTAGAGCTGTGCTGTTAACTTCCCCCTCTTCCTCCTTTCCTATGTTGGAAACTGACCCCGAGCCTCTTGGACAAGCTTTGCCACTGAGCTGCACGCACACTCACATAGATACCTCAACTTGGAGATCAAAGCTTGAAAGCTGGTTTAACTTTAATACATGTCTTTTTAAAAGTAAAACTTAGGGATAAGGGGTAGGTGGCTCAGCTCTTAGTTATCAGTTATTTGAGCTAGGCATTTTCCACATGTCTATAATCCAAGCACTTAGAAGGTAGAAGAGGGAAGATCAAGAATTAAAAGCCAGTCTTCCCTACAGAGAGAGTTGAAAACCAGACTGGGCCACATGAGACCTGTCTCATTTTTAAAAAAAAAAAATTGATTTTAGTTATTCAAATATATCTTAACATATGGATATAACATTATGTGCCTGTGTTGTTAAACTACATGTATTTACATTTATATATACTTAGCATATTACACAGAAATAGATTACAAAAGAACCATGGCTAGGCATGGTGGCTCATGCCTTTAATCCCAGCACTCAGGAAGCAGAAGCAGGCAGCCTGGTCTATAGAGGATTCTAGGACAGCCAGAACTGCACAGAGCAGCAGAAAACACAGACTTACATTATAATTCATAACAGTAGCAAAATTATAATCAGGTAGTAGAAACAAAAATGAGTTTATGCTGAGAGCAGTGGTGGTGCACGCCTTTAACCCCAGCATCTCATCTCCGTGAGTTCAAGACCCCTTGGGTCCACAGGACAGTCAGGGCTATTACACAGAGAAACCCTGTCTTGAGGGGAAGGGGGGGAGGGAGGGAGGGAGGGAGGGAGGGAGGGAGGGAGAGAGAGAGAGAGAGAGAGAGAGAGAGAGAGAGAGAGAGAGAAAGAACACCATGGTTCTTGTCACTAGAAGTCTTTATAGGCTAAACATGATACATATGCCTCAAGAGGCAGAACACAACACTGCAAGTTCAAGGCCAGCCTTGATAATAATTTTATTTTGTTTAAGGCAGTTTATAATTTCGTTTGTGTGGAAGGAAAGAAGTCATAAAAGGAAAAATAGGTTAGATCTAGCGAAAATAAAGTAAATCAAGTTAATAAGTGTTGGATTTGGTCAGCAGCAGCTTCAGTATATCTTGTCACCTAAGCTGGTTAATGAGAAAACCACTGTCATTCAAAGCATAAAATAAAAGCAAACAAAAATCAAAATTCAAATTGAAAAAGCAAGACTTAGTTCATGAGTCCTTTAAGCATATTTTGCACCACCATTCCCCAAGGGAAATAGCCATTGTTAATTGGACCATATTTTCACCAGCTTTATTGTTATCTTAGGAAAACTTAACCTCCAAACTGTAACTCACAGTCCAACTTTAGGTAATTGGAGATATACCTATTCATAATTAATGGGGTGGTTTGTATAAAATAAAGGGTCGGTGAGTCACAAGGTGGGAAACAGCTTTCTTTCAGATTAACTGGACCTGGTTCCTAGGTGAGGGAGTCAGGGCTCAGAGATCAGATAACAGCACTGGGGGATTCAGTTATGAAAGATGGTTGGTTCGTTGTTAGGCTTGACATTTGCTCATGCCTGCTTTCTTCACTTGGCGGGGCCCCTTTTGATGGTTAGGTCCTTGGCTGCCCATGGTGGGGGTTGTGATCCCCTGTTGAGCATGGGCCTGGATGTATACTTCTGTTTGTTAACTGCAGCCTGGCAGCGAGCTGGACAACCTGGAAGAGATTTTGGATGATTTGCATAATAGTCAATTACCACAGCTTTTCCCAGACACAAGGCCAGGAGCCCCTGCTGGGTCAGTTGACAAGCAAGCCATCATCAATGACCTCATGCAGCTCACCGCGGACAGCAGTCCCGCTGCACCTGTTGGAGCCCAGAAAACAGCGCTGCGGATGTCACAGAGCAGTGAGTATGCGCTACTACCGGCTCTGCTGAAGAGTTCCCCTTTAATCCCCATCAGAAACAGATTAAGTCTGCCTCAGTTTAGTTACTTGGAGGTTTTTTTGTGATAAAACAGCACCATCTACTGTCCTGGTCTGTCAGTGTTCAGGATTCTGGTCCTGCTGAGATTCCTCTGCCCACAGCAATAGGAAGGAAGATTCAAGCCAGGCATGGTACTGCATGCATGCCAGTAATCCCAGGCATGCAGCTAAAACAGGAGGAGGATGAGCTCAAGGCCAACCTGAGCTACCTAGTGAGACCTGGTCTCAAAAAAGAAATTAGATTTTTTTTTTTTAATTTAATTGCTCAGAAAAGGCTGCTCACAGTCAAATGCCTTGCTCTGCCATTTAGGAATCTTATTTTAAATTTGTTTGAGCTAAGTTAAAAATGCTATTCGCTCTGATTGCTTAGACAACAAACTTGATCCTGGCTGAAGTTTTCAGTTTTGTGTGAGAGAACAGTTTTTCTGTAGCACACCCGTGTTTACAGAAAGGCAACCTCTTCCGTGCTGGTAATCACAGTGACTATTCCCACCTCAGGTGAATGAGCTGGTGCCTAGCACTGCTCTCAGGCAAGCAGAATGGCTGTCTTTAGAGACTAAATCCATTCCTGCATGGTTCCTGACCATTCTGAAAAAGAAAAAGGAAAGATGAATTTTTGTTTAACCAGGGCAACCACAAAGCTAAAGGACTGAGAGAATAAGGAAGGCAACATACAAGGTACTTCTCATGAACCCAAAGAGCTAGCAACGCGCACATGGGGCCTCACAGCTCCTATTCTCTTTAGAGGTCTCAGTGGGCTTGACTTAGTGAATAGCCAGGTAACTGACCCCTATAAGGCAGGACTGAGCATGGCACGTAATGTCCATTCCCAGCCTTAGTTTTTCTGGATGTTGTATTTCTACCATGGATTACAAAGTCCCCGCTTCTTAATGGTGCTATTATAGTCTGTGTTTATAAAATTAGAAGAAAACAAAGTACTTGATATTACCTAATAAATCTATTTATTCAGAGTTAGCAGGGACCTTTTGATGATCACGTGTGTTGCATGTGTTCTGTATGTGACTTGTCTTTCAGGTAGATAGTTGGTCCCTGGTGCACATCTTTGTCATTTTACAGGTGACAGTTTCCCTAAACACTACTATTGTTAATATTCTTTTTCATTGTCCTTTATTAACCTTCAATTTTCATTTGTTTTCTCCTTAGCTTTTAATAACCCACGACCAGGGCAACTGGGCAGGTTATTGCCAAACCAGAATTTACCACTTGACATCACATTGCAAAGCCCAACTGGTGCTGGACCTTTCCCACCAATCAGAAACAATAGCCCCTACTCAGTGATACCTCAGCCAGGAATGATGGGTAATCAAGGGATGCTAGGAAGCCAAGGAAACTTAGGGAACAATAGCACAGGTAAGGGCTCAACGGCACTGGTGCTTATTGATGGGGTGTGTGACTTAACGGTATATTCATTCATGCACATCAGAGTGGTAGAACTTCACCGGGATGTGTTAGCAGCTATCTGTGAAGTGCAGAATCCTACAGAGTCCCTGAGTGTGGCTATGGGAAGCCGCTCCAGTAAGATGGCCAGGTCATCCTTCAACTGCTGCTTTGAGGTTTCTGAACATCAGTCTTCTTGTCTAGACTTACTTCACTTCCATCCCAGCTATTGGTCTGAACATGAACATATGTAAAATAGCTGGATATCCGCAAAAATGTATTGATGTGTTTGGAATATTTCAAAATGGAAGTTTAAATCCACCAGTCTTTCACAATTCTAGGTCCTGTTTCCACTCAGGAAAAAAATGAGTTAAAAATGCAGGTCTTTTTGCCTATCTTTTTGCCTTTTCATTGTAGTCTTAGTATGCAGGAGGCTGAGGCTGGAGGGTGACTTGAGCCAGAAATAGATTTTTGTGTGTTTTGATTTTGTTTTATTGGCCTTTGTCTTCTGGTTTTCTTAACTTTTATGCATTTTCATAGCTTCAGGTCAGGATAAGATTAAGTGAGCACAATGGTTTGAGACCACAGCACAGCCCCTATGAAAACTATCAATAATGACTTTTAAATAGTGGTGGGCCTGGCCCAACCCAGCGAAAACCTCCAGCCCCAATTGAGGGAGGGCTTCCTGGAGATTTGAGAACTTACCTGTGATCTAGCTGGACCTTGACCCGCTGTACGTTACAATGTCCACCACATTCTCCAGGCACATTTCCTAGGTGGTCTCTGCTTCTGCTGCGGCTGCCATAGAAGTCAGGCCTGAACTCAACAGCGCCTGGGCCTTGGAACAGTGTTTGTTATACATCTGGAAGGATGCTGGCTTCCCTTGTGAAGAGCTGCTCGTAATTTATAGCTTTCTTCCTTTGTCTCAATGACGTATTAGAGACTTGGGCATAGAAATAAGGAGATATTATAAAAAGAGCTTACAGTTGTGGGTGTTTTAGTTCTTTCTATTTTTAGCTCAGTCTGTAATCCCTGTACATTACCATTTTAGTTAACTGAAGATCAGAGTTCTATTTAAGGGGAAATGATGGTTGTTTTATTTGCTGTCACTGAGATAGAGTCATGGGAAACATGAGCTGAACTCTATCAGTTTATTCAGTCAGCAAGTATTGACTGCTTACTATGTGCCATGCTCTGACTGCCTCATTAAACAGTGTTTTCATAAAAACCATATTCACTTTGTCACTCTTAAATACTGATTTATATAAATATTGTTGAGAAGAGTGGCTGATGACCCAATAGGGTAGCTCCCTACCACGGAACAAAGGACGTTCTGCGTTGTTGGAGGAGTCTTATGTAGGACCCTAGGACTAGGCTTACCTAAACTGGGTGTTCCTGGACCTACTGGAGCCCAGGCTGTAAAAATCACGTGGTGGGCTCCCTCTGCTTCTAAAAACAAATGCCCAAAGGAATAACATCCATTCTCATTGCACTAATATTTTTGAGTTATAATTTCACCCTCCTACTGTCTATAATCTTGTTATGCTGTTTATATAGTAAATTATTTTGGAAAACAAACTACCTTTTCTCCCTTAGTATCTTTTTTTAGATTAAAAATAATATAAAATGTTTTACGTGTGTTAATCCTGTCACAGTTTTTAACTCTGATTACCCTTCATTCTCCACCATCCCCAGCACATTCTTGTTTCACATGTGAGGAAGGACCCATGTTGTCCGTATGTTAATTATACCAAATTTGTAGTTGCTTGACCCAAATAAAGTAAATGAAAGGAAGATATATATATATATAGATATATATAGATATATCTATATATATATATCTTAAAGCACTATCTTTATATTCCCTGTGTCAAATATTTCAGAATTTACCAAGGGCAGTCTCTAAGTACTAGGTTCCTTAAGTTTTACCCAGTGCCTGTGGTGTGACAGCCTAGCTTAATGGTCGTACGGTGAACATGCCTGCATGTTTCCAGTCTGCGAGCTCTGATAAACTGAAAGGAAAGTGAAGATTTTTAAATCATCCCTGGGCTCCGCGGGATGCTCTCTGGTCAGGGTTGATAATTTTGGAATTGATTGTCAGTTCTTCCCTTGTCCTCCTCGCTTCACCTCCTTTTTGGAAAGTAAGGCTCTGACGTGTGTGTCAGCTAATGTGATTCACTTCCTGAGGAAGGAAGTTGGGGTTATCCACTTGCCGAAGCACCTGCTCTCAGTACATATGGGAAGAGTGTTAACTGCTCTTCTGAACCATAGCAGATTTGTGTCGTGAAAACTGTAGCAATTGCCGTTTCTTACGTCTTAGCTGAGGGCCCACATCTGCCCCAGGGAGGGAGCTGCTGTTGGGCGACAGCAGTTTATAGTCATGGTTTGAGTCTTAGGTAGGTAGGTCTGGTATTTGTTCCTGTGCTGTTTTCAATGTCTGCATCTCTCAGTTTCCTCTGCCTTACATGCAGGAATGATTGGCAGTAGCACTTCTCGGCCCGCCATGCCCTCTGGGGAATGGGCACCACAGAGTACAGCTGTGAGAGTCACCTGTGCTGCTACTACTGGTGCCATGAACCGGCCAATCCAAGGAGGCATGATTCGGAACCCAACATCCAGCATCCCCATGCGAGCCAACAGCCAGCCTGGCCAAAGACAGATGCTTCAGTCTCAGGTCATGAACATAGGTAAGGCAGTGCAGCACTCTCTGCTCTCTTTAGGCTTTCTCGAAAAGGAGTGTCAGCTCATGGGTCCTTCCAGACTGGCTTCTGGCTTGTATTGTAGGTAATCCTCTGGTATGAAGCTGTCCTGAATGGGATTTTGCTAGGACCTTGTAGAATCATAAAGTAATTGCAAAATTTTAATTTGGAGGCAAAATGCATGAGAATATCACATGAATGCTGTACACATACACACATAGCATCCATGTGATAGCTTAAAGGTAGAGACAGTTGAGTGGTGCGCTGCAATGTCGAACTCTGTACAGGTCATCCCAGTCCTCCTAGGTCCTCTCGTAGAGATCACACAGCACTTGAGGATCTCTAGGGTTCTATTGGAGACAGTTCACATTAACAATGAATTTTTGCGTACATTTCTTTATGTGACGTATTTGCCTAGAATATCCTGGTCACCTAAGGCTAAAGGCCTGAAAGGGAGTGGGAAGTAACTCCTGGCAACAAGGGTTTCCTTTTGTACAGGTAAAAATATGCTGGTATTGATGTGGTAGGTGGTTGTACAACTGAACATACTGATACCTACTGGGTGGGACACTTGAAAATTATCTCAGGAAAACTGTTACATTAAATATTAATGTGCCCACCTGTAATCCCAACACTTGGCTGGTGGTGGCAGGAGAATCAGAAGTTCATCATCCTCAGCAACATAGAGAGATCTAATTTGAGGTCTGCTTGAGCTAAATGAGACCCCATTTCAAAGAGAAAAAAAGAAAACTCCTACTTGGCATTATTATTTTTAACCACAGGTACAGGACCTTCCTCTGATATTGTGTATTAGCTCCATTCTGAAAAGCCTGTGTTTGCAAACGTCTGGCAGACACTGCACAGGAAGTACTGACATTCTCAGGAAAGTGAGAAATTGTACTGACGAGCAGCAGGCTCATCAGATCTCTGACATTAGGTTTCTTCCATAGGTATTGAATTGCTGTGTGTATTTTGACTCAATATTTCTGAGAGTGGCGTTCATAATTACATTTCTACATGTGTACTCAAAGTAGTAAGTGGTTCCCAAACCTAAATTTGTGTCATTTGAGAATGCTAAATATGAAAATGTTAAATATAAACCCATATTTTTATGAAAAATTAAACTGAGACAATTTTATGATGCATATGAAAGCCACAATAATGGATCTTGTATATAGAAATTTTTGTTTGTTTGTTTTCCAAGACATAATTTCCCTGTGTAGCTCTGGATGTCCTGGAACTCTCTCTGTAGACCAGACTGGTCTTGAACTCAAAGGGGTCCACCTGCCTCTGGCTCCCGAGAGCTAGGATTAAATGTGTGTACCTGGTGCATATAGAAATTTAATTTATTTGCATTCCTTGCTGAAGGGCATCTCATTTTTGAAACCTTCCAATATGTCTCTGTAAGGCTTAGCATGTAGCTGAATTTCTCTAATTGTAAGTAAGTTCAACAAAGCCATGAATTCAGCCTAACAAAAAACTGGTGTAGTGAAGGTCATTGGTGCATAATGACGTGTAAGCTCATGCTGCTTTAGAGTCACAGAGAGAACCTCACAGCAGGAAGTGTGTCTGAGTGTGTGCCCCGAAGTACGACTAGTGACAGCTCGGGTGCACATGGGCTGCGCCAGTGCTTCTCTTCTCCAGTACCCCGGCCTGGCCCAGGTCCTCTTCATTCCCATCTTCTGCAGGCACCCATTGGAGTCTGGCAGAAGTCCTGCACTGTAGGACTCAGTGTGGAAGTGAATTGGAAGTTGTGCACAAATGTTAAACCATGGCATGAAACCCAGAATTACATTAATATATACTTACTGATTTTGTGATATTTTAAAAATGAGTTAGTGTTTTCTGTATGTACCATACAAACAAAAGCTTTAAGTAAGAGAATGGGGATCCTTGCTATTACTGCTGATGCGGACATGCCCTAAGGTAGAAGGCATTAACCTTGGTATTTATTGGTTTCATTTGTATGTCACACCAGAACTATATGGTCTGATTTTCACCTATTACTGCTTCTGCCTTCTCATTTTCCATAACCAGCGATTTTATTTACTATTATACAATAAATGTGTGTGCTTTTTCAGTCATAAGATAGAAGACTTTAGGTTTTCTTTTTCTTTCTCCTCCCTCTTTTAGGGCCTTCGGAGTTAGAAATGAACATGGGAGGACCTCAGTATAATCAACAGCAAGCTCCTCCAAATCAAACTGCCCCATGGCCTGAGAGCATCTTGCCTATAGACCAGGCATCTTTTGCCAGCCAGAACAGGTGAGTCTGAGTACCAGGAGCATTGGGAAGAGCATTAGCTTATGGCTCATGGGTTCTATTAGTTGTTTCCAGACCTGTATATGGATGAATTCCCTCTGAATGGACAGTGCTTACCAAGTTGTTGTTTCTTCAGACCAAGTCATTCACTAGGCAGGGAAAGGAAGATACAAAAATCAACATGACTAGACATGCGTTTATACTCCTGACAACTTATTTGGGAAAAAAATGATGTGTTTGTGCTAAGTGTAATTGGGCAGTGGTGCACAGTATAGAAGCCTCGAGAGAAATAACCTTGTTTCAGTAGCTCATCCACCAAGGCTGGCAAAGTTTCAGAATCTTAGAAACGCTCAAAGGGGCAGAATAGCCCAGTGTGCATGGCAGAGCAGCACCCTGCCAGCTCAGGGGTTGCATGTATGTGTAGGGTAACAGGAAATGATCTCATTTTGTGTTGTGTGTATTTACCACGATTAACAAAAAGATAGGGGCACCTCCCTCCTTTCCAGGATCTAGTTAGATAAGTGTAGTCCTCGCCCCTTCTCTTTGCAAAGATCGAGACTATTACAGAAAACCACAACCAATCAAAATGCAGCTGTGAGGCCAGGCCCAGTGGATACATCTACAAAACAACTCCCACTCATAAGGCTCAGGACATTGTGAAAGGGGACAGAAAGATTCTGAGAGCCAGAGGATCAGGAGTTTGCTGTGAGGTTGAGTCTCCTGATAGTATCAGAAGGTGGGTCCATAAAGTCTTGTCAGCACGACTGCCTAAGCGCGAGCTGGACAAGGACATTCCAAAGTGAGTGGGAGGAAGACCACAAAGAACTGCAGGCAACTGAGGAATGCTGATCAGGAAAAATGGTCTTCTCCAGGGAAGAGCACACCAGCTAGTATCCAAACCACATGGTCAGCCCTGAATGTATACATACAAGTAACAGTATACAGACTAGACAGCTTATATTTAGGAATATATGTACATGTAACAATTAATAAAAGAAGCTGTGAATTTGGAATGAGCAAGGAGGATGTGTGGGAGGGTTTGAAGGGAGGAATGAGATAATTAAAATAGGAGCTAGTAAGCTAACATAGTTGCTAAAGTGCTTGTCGTATGAGCATGAAGACCTGAAATCAGAGTCCAGAACCCATTTAAAAAGCCAACTGTGGCACACATTTGTAATCCTGCACTGGGCAGGCAGAGACAGGAGTGTCCATGGGACCAGGGACCAGCTAGTCTAGCTTAATCTGTGAGACTTTGTCCCAGAAAATAAGGAAGAATACCTGACGTTGACCTTTGGCATCCACATGTCTGTCTGTCTGTCTTGTCTGTCTGTCTCTCTCTCTCTCTCTCACGCTCACACTCACACTTACCCTATTCCTAACACTCAGAGGCAGAGGCAGGCAGATCTCTGAGTTCTAGGCCAGCCTGAACTACAGAGCAATTTCCAGTACAGCCAAGGCTACACAGAGAAACCCTGTCTTCACAGAACAACAAAACACAAAACTTATGGTCCTGGGGCTGGTGAGATGGCTCAGTGGTTAACAGCACTGACTGCTCCTCCAGAGGACCCAGGTTCAAATCCCAGCACCCACATGGCAGCTCGCAGCTGTCTGTAACTCCAGTGCATATAAAATAAAGTTAAAGTTTAAAACAAGGAAAGAAAGAAAGCTTGCAGTCCTTCTGCCTGGGCCTTCCAAGTACAGGAATCACAGATGCCCGCCCCCATGCTAGGCTTTAATAAATTGTCTTGAACAGTTCTAGAAGACTTTAACCACCTTATGTTTATATACCTTGCTTCTCTGTCTTCTCAATTCTTTGTAGGATTCTGACAATGTATGTCAGACCTCTTTATTTCATCCATATATTGTTTTGTTTTTTTAAAATGTGTGTGCACCTCCATGATTTTACACATACCACATGCCTGCAAAGCCCTTGAGCTTCCATGGGTCACCTGATGTGGGTGCTGGAGCTGAATGTTGGTCTCCTGCCATTCTGCCGTCTCTCCTGCTTCTCCTTTTTCTCTCTTTCTTTTAAAACTTATTTTATAAGAAATGTGTTTGTGTGTGCATGCAAGTGCATGTGTGTACGTGAACACATGTGGAGGTGAGAGAACAACTTCTGGAAGTCAGCTCTGCACTGTGGGTTTCTGGGGATCAAACTGAGGTTGTAAAGTTTGGCATGCTAAGCCATCTTGATGTCTCTATTTTGCATATTTCACTTCATTTTTCCTGTGTTTTAGATAGTCTCACTTTGTAGACCTGGCTGGCCTGGAATTTTCTATTAGACTAGGTTGACCTAGAACTAAGAGATCTGTCTGCCTCTGCCTCTGGAGTGATATAATTAAAGTTGTACACATCACACCTAATATTTCTTAATTCATATAGTTTTCATAATTTGATTTTTATATATACTGTTCGATATAATTTACCCTTATATTATCTTACCTATATTACGTATCTTTCACTTTTAACAGTTGCTTGCTTAGTCATTTTTTTATAGACACTCGGGCTTGCTTGTTTTTTTATGATTCCATCTTTGTGCCTTCATAGTTATTTTCTAAATTTCTTGATCCAGTGCTTCCAGCACGCTAACATACAGGATTATGGGCAGTCTAAGTCCAGATAATGAATTTCACTCATGGTTGCCTGTTTCCCTGAATTTTTGCATATTTGCCACATTTTAGTTTATTATGATTAGGGAAACTATACACATGGAAGTCACTGTGACATCCATACACGGATATGTCATTCACTGATCATATCTCCCCATCCTTCTGTACGTCCTGCTTCCCTTTGTCCTTCCAGTGTTTGCACACTTTCCTTGGAGCTCACATGGCCAGTGGGATACCTGTGTTCTAAGCTGAGGGTGCTTCCCTAGGGAGGCTCACACTGGTCTGCTGGACAGTGCACACTGTTTTATTGGGTGGCTTCGAGGTCGCCTACCTCAGTCTCTCTATCTCTGATTGCATATTGTTCCTGAGAATCCTTGCTGTCATGGTTGCTGCAGGCTGTAGGCAAAGAGCATCACATAGCCACAGTGACACTACAGGCAGTGACTTTTCAGGGCCCTTCTGACCTTTGAGCCTTATGCCATGGTGGCCCCAGTGAATGGGATTATTTGGGGTTGTAACCCAACTATTTCAGGGGAAATGTTTTCAGAATACAAATTAATAATAATTAAACAGTAGTGTCTCATAGTTTTTGAATGAAATCAAAGATCATCTTTTATGGTGATTATTATGAAATTTTATTAAATTCAGATTTTTATTGTTAAACATGCATGAGTTGTATAGCAAAGACAAAGAATTCTAGACTCACATTTAGTCCAGTGTCGCGCCCAGGACTGCCCACGCTGCTGTTGCTTCTGTGGCTATCCTAACAGTGGGCAAGCAGAATGTTGCACCTCTTCTTTTTTTTTTTTAAAGTATTTATTTATTTATTATGTGTACAATATTCTGTCTGTGTGTATGCCCACAGGCCAGAAGAGGGCACCAGACCCTATTACAGATGGTTGTGAGCCACCATATGGTTGCTGGAAATTGAACTCAGGACCTTTGGAAGAGCAGGCAATGTTCTTAACCGCTGAGCCATCTCTCCAGCCCCTGTTGCACCTCTTCTAAAGCTATTTCAGCTTTATGAACCATTTATCTCACTTATTTTAGATAATCCAGTTTAGAAGAAATGAATGACCAGCCTTATAACGTAGTAAAAAAAATATATTTTCATAAAAATTCAAAATTTTTATGAATTTTGAATTCATAAAATTCAATGACAGACAATTAAGTTTATATTCTTGTCTCTGTCGAAATAGAGACAAATCAGTGCTCATTAATTTAAACCCCCTTTGTGAATGTTTCAGTTATTTAGAGTATGTTCTTAATGTGTTCATTTCTACATTTATTTATTGAGAGTGTAACCGCATGCATGTGGAGATGAGTTTTCCTTCCACCATGTGGGCCCTGGGGATTGATCCTCGGTTCCTCAGGTTTTGTGGCAGGAGTTTTTTACCCACTACACAGTCTCTTACATGTTTTATGAATCAGAATTTATTTATTCATGCATTTCAAAAGCATTACCATTAAAGCTACTCATGTATAGCACATTTTGAAAATCTGTTTATTACTTATAGATAAAACTTCCATGTTTTGGCTCACCCCCAACATATACATTCGTTTGTTTTCTTCATTCATTAGATATATATGCTATATGTTTACCATCAGAAGTTGTAGGCCCAAGTGTGGTGGCACATTCCTGCACTCTCAGCACTTGGGGGCGGTGCAAGAACAGTCATTACCCACCTCCCCTCCCAGATGGTGTGCGGTAGTAACAAATAAACTAGAAGATAGGGACCATTACCACCCAACACCCAGGTATACATTAAAACCAAAGTGGTGCTCATGATTTTGGGGACTGACCCTGCAGCTTCTTGCTGAATATGTGCCCTGCTAGACTTCAGCACAAAGTCTGACTGCAACAGAAGATACCTTCCTTCATACAAATCAGATATGAGAAAAATAGACTAACTTGGCCTTTTAAATTTTAGGTAAAAAAAGAAATAGTTCATGAAAGGGTGCTACCAAATATCAATGAATAGCCCCTTTAGCAATCTCAGGAGAAGTCTTCCAAAGCCATTAAGTAACTTATTTATTATTTTCTGCGACAGGGTCTCATGTAACCCAGTCTGATCTCAAGCTTACTGTATAGCTGAGAATAACTATAAACTTTTAATTTTCTTTCTTCTGCAGAAGCTCTTAATCACTGAGGTATCTATCTTAGGGTTTTCTACTGCAGTGAAGAGACACCATGACCACAGCAACTTCTATAAAGGAAAGCATTTAATTGTGGTGGCTTACATTTTCAGAGTTTTAGTCTATTATCACGGTGCGACATGGTGGTGTGCAGGACGGCATGGTGTCAGAGTCAGCGCTGAGGTTCCTACATCTTGACCCAGAGGCTACAGGAAGTAGACTGAGATACTGGGCATGACTAGAGCCTACATGAGACCTCAAAGCCCACCTCCCAGTAGTGCCACTCCCTATGAGCTATGGAGATCAATTACATTCAAACAACCACACCCAATTGTGAGGCTGAGGTGTGAGGATTTCTGCAGGGAGTGAATATCAGGTCAGGCTAGGGTTATGTAGCAAGAACTTGTCTCAAAAACCAAGTTTGATTTTTGCATTTGTAAAGCTCAGTTTCCTGTTTTCTGTGTACACTGCCTATGTTTCTAAACTATAGAAACTTGTGTTATGCCACTGAGCTAGGACATGCAGAGTGCGTGGTCTGTCATGTTAGATTTCACATTGCCCGTCCTTCATTGGTGGAGGAATATTTTGCAGTACAGCTTCTGAAGTGCAGAAACAGACAGCTGTTCACACAGCTGGACAGAGACTGGCCTAGTTAGGGTTGTCATTGCTTAGATGGCACATTGTGACCAAAAGCAAGTTGGGGAGGAAGGAGTTTGACTTACAGTTCCATATTGCTGCCTACTGTCAAAGGAAATCAGGACAGGAACTCACACAGGGCAGGACCCTGAAGGCAGGCACTGATGTGGATTCCATGGAGGAATGCTGTTTACTGGCTTGCTCTCCATGGTTTGCTCTGCTTGCTTTCTTACAGAACCTAGGACCACCAGCCCAGGGACGACAGCACCCACAATAGGCTCCATCAATCTCTAATTTTAAAAAATGCCCTACAGGCTTGACTATAGCCTGACTTTATAGAGGCATTTTCTCAGTTGAGGTTCCCTCCTCTCAGATTACTGTAGTTTGTGTCCAGTTGGCAGAGGCAGTACTTTAAACTGTCTCATTGAGCAGCTTCCCAGGTCTGAGGGGACATGCTCAAGAGCCACATCGACTCCTGGCCACCAGAACTTACTTTCCTTTGGCCCCAGTCGTTAGGTACTCAGTGTGGGGAGGGGTCTCTCCTAATGCTCCACCCATGGCATGGAGTTGTGTGGTTTTTTCCTCACATTGACATTTCTATGACTATTTCTTCTTTCATCTTCTGAAAAAGAGAGAGAGAGAGCTGATCACATTTGTATTTTAAAGAATAATTGGGGGAATGTGGACTGTAGGAAAAAAGAGGTAGGTATCAAATTTGGAACACGACCAGTGCAAGCTGTTCTTCTACAGCCTCTCGATGACGAGAGAGCAAGAGGTGGAATACCTGGAATATATACACCCTTATATATGCACTCTTGGCTGACAGTACGTACACCCTTATATATATACACTCTTGACTGGAAATGCACACACACACACACACACACACACACACACACACACACACACACACATTCTGTCTCTGTCTCTCTCCTAATAGTATCTCTGCCCTTATATATGCACTCTTGACTAACAGTGGCCTCCCAGCCAGCTTACCATGGCTCAGAAGCAGTGGGACTGACTGTATCAGGGACAGTAAGTGAGAAGAGGCATCAAAGGGACACTCAACTGGGTGATTTTCTCTTAAAAATAGAATCTGATGGAGAATATAGATTACACATTGATACATTCTACTGTCAGTATTTGAAATTAATTGTTGGTTTCAGTGCTCAGCATGACCCTCCCTATATTGCAGTTCTAAGTCAAAATAACATAAGTTAGACCACCTGAGGAAATACAGCAACCTGAACAGGACCAGACAACTTCATTCCTTGAAAAATTTATTCTTAGTTGTTTAAAAATGAATTTTTTTAAACTGAGAATAGCTTGCCTGGTACACATGATGCCCTGGGTTTAATTTTCAAGTACCATACACAATAAAAAGTAAGTTAGCTTACCTATATACTTCTGTTTTCTCCACAGTATTCTATAGTACACAATATTATTTGAAAAAATATAACTCTCATTTCCTCTCTTTGGTTCACAGTGACTCGAAGCTCCTCGAATTCACTCAGTAATTTAATTATAATTTTTATATACTATAGAAATGGTGGTTTGGTGTCAAGATGCTATCTTGAATTGCTTTATAGCAATTACAATTAGAAGATTTGTGATTTCTTTCTCTTGGCACCTAACTCATGAGGACTAACAGCTACATATCTTGAGAGTATTAATAAATGCTTGCAAATTCTGCTTCTGCAGAAACGCGGTTTCCTAGTAGCGGTGAGTACCTGGCTAAGTTAAGCCCCTAGTTTGCTAGCTGTAGAAAGGCGTAGAAACAAAACTGCTTCCATTTATATATGACCTTTATTAGCACTTAAATAAAATGAATTTTTCAGGTGCATATTATCAAAAGTCTTGATTTTGTTCAATGTGTGGCTGGTGTGAGAGTTCATTGCAGAGACCCTGGGAGTCAGCTGTCATTTCCATCAGCCATGGTGAACTTTGTCTCTTTGCAGGCAGCCGTTTGGCAGCTCCCCCGATGACCTGCTGTGCCCACATCCTGCAGCAGAGTCTCCCAGCGATGAGGGCGCTCTTCTAGACCAGCTGTATATGGCCTTGCGGAACTTCGATGGCCTCGAGGAGATTGATAGAGCTCTGGGGATCCCAGAGCTGGTCAGCCAGGTAGGCCAGAGCCCTGCAGGGCCATGTGCTCCATAGACAGGAGGGGTCTGTTCCAGCAGTCTACTCTGTGGGGTGCTTTTCACCTCCCCTCAGGCAGGCCTCCCCTGCCTTCCTGCTTCTCCTGTTCCTCCACTGTTCTCACATAAACTGCTGCCCAAGAAGCAAACCCCTAGGAATAACATAAAACTTGAATTACAGCAGAAAGGCAGAAGCTAAAGCCCAATTGGCCTTTTGTCCCCCTTCTTTATGGGCAGATGAAGAAAAGATATCAAGAAACCACAGGTTCCTGGTGGTCTTGCATCTTGCCCCTAGAAGAGGGGACAGTATGAGCACAGGCCTCAGACCTACTTGTGCCTGTGCGCTGGGGCAGGCAGCCCTACTTCAAAAGAACTGTTTCCACATACAGGTAGCATAACTCATCTTAGGTGTGGTTGCAGTTTGAACACTTTGGCCCTTATATGGATGTTACCTGGAACAATTTCAATAATTTTTAAGCAAATAGGAATATCAGAAAGGTCAATCAGCATGGTGGCGCACATCTTTAATCTCAGCACTTGGGAGGCAGATGCAAGAGAATCTCTGTGCATTCCAGGCCAGCTCTACAGAGCAAGTTCCAGGACAGTCTCCAAAACTACACAAAGATACCCTGTCTCGAAAAACCAAGGGGGAGAAAAAAAGCCAGTTACCTCAGTGAGTCTAGTTAGCTCTTGTCTTCCTGGTTAGTTTATTTGAAGAAGTTACAGACCTGTAATTGTATTTCTTTGATTTGAGAATAGCTGAGAGAGTGAGATAAATGATCCCGTGTCTCTCAAAAGACCGTTTCTCAAGCAGCCCTGCAGCTGCTTTTATGTGAAACAGCTCCCTGGTTTGCTGAAGGCGGGGGCCTAGGAAATCCTCACGCCCTTGCTGCTGTCTTCCTTCACACTCAGTACCCCTCATCGTCCTTTCTGTCACCATGCCTTCCGAGGCCGGTCTCCTACATGTCACTGCATCTGTGAGGAAGGTGACATGAGTCATTGAAGACCTTCTCTGAACCATTAGAAATGATCTTGTCATAATTCCCACCATCTAGCAACACAGGTCAGTTCATAGTGAAAACAGCACAGTGGGAAGAAATGACTGGACGTGCACAGTGCACCCCGAGTGCAGCCCGAAAGGAAATGGGTTAGCTGCTTCCTGTGGACATGGCTGGCTTTGCCTCAGTGTCAGCTAGACTTTAGCTTCTCTGTAATTATTCCCAAGTTTCCGAGTGACCTGTAACTCTTTGGTGGGTTTTCAAGGGTTTTTGTTTTCTAAGAGATTATCTAAGCTGTAACCCATTAGCCTTGGATTGATGGCAGTTCGCCAGTGTCGTGTCATCGCCGTATGGCCCTCCCCTTTGTTCTCTGTACTGTTTCTACTTCTCCTCAGCCATGTTACCTGAACTGGAGAAGGCATGTTTAGGTAGAATGGGGAAATGGGACACATGTGTAGCCAGAGTAGCATACAGTGTTTAAAAATGGAAATTACTGGCAGGGGAGACAGCACAGTCAACAAAGCGCTTGTCTCACAAACATCCCCAGTGCCCAAGAAAACATACCAGGCCCAATGGTAGATACTTGTCATCCCAGCACGCGGTTCTGGTGTGGTGTGGAGGCAGGAAGATTCTGGACAAGCCTACCAGCCAGTCCAGCATAATCTATGAGTTCTAAATTAAAGAAAGACCCTGTCTCAAAAAAACACAAAAATTAAATAGATGAATATAGAAATAATTATATTTTTCTACTGAAAATGGGCAACTAGAAAGTTCTGAGATATCTCAGCGAAGAGTGTCTCCCTGCTGGAACTCCATGCACACTTTTTAAAGTGCCGCGGGGGAGGGGTGGTGTGCCACAGCTGTCGCGCATCTGCCCCACGATGCTGGGCAGCAGTAGGATGGCTTGGAATGACCGAGGCAGGGCTGGAGGAACACCGACTGAAGGAGGCTTGAGATTTTATTGCTGCAGGGGTCTTGCCCTTTGAAAGACCTTCAGATTTGTGGCAGTGGCTTCTAGGAGAAAGGTTGGCTGGGTATATCTTCACATGGACACTCAGGGCTGCACAGGTTTGAGATACTCACCCTGAGAAAGCTCCAGATTTCCTATGTGTGAAAGAAAACAGGAGAGTTGGCCCAAAGCTTGTATATACAGTTCAGTGGCAGAAATGAGAAGAGACCTCGCCTCAGAAACAAGGTGAACTACAAAGAGAACTATGTCCCGAGAAGACCTCTGTGGCATGTGTGTGTGCACTCATTCTGTATCACTCACACACACACACACACACACACACACACACACACACACACACACAGAGAGAGAGAGAGAGAGAGAGAGAGAGAGTGCACTTTGAAAACTATGTAGCTAATACAAGATGCAGCTGGAATGTATGCCATTCTCTCTGTAAAATGCACCTCAGCTGGGCATAGTGGTGCATTTGATCCACTGAGACAGTGAATCTCTGAGTCCGAGGCCAAACTGGACTACATAGTAAGTTCCAGGGCTATTAGGAAAGTCTGGGCAGGGGGGAGGGAGAAGGCACATCTCTCAGAAAATTAATCAGATACATAATAACCATCTTGCAGACATGTCTGCCAGATACCAGTCAGGACACAGGGAGAATATGCTAAATATCTTTACACCTTCCTTTCCTTCTATAGGTCTTTGGTGGGGAAGCAGCTATTTAAAAAACAAATGACAAGAATATTGAATATGTCTAGCACGTAGTTAAGTAAATGATGACAAAGTGTGGGCATGTAAGAAATTCTGCCAACCATAGAGAACAGCTAAGTAAACAGTAGGCACCGTAAGCCAGGCATAGTGGTGTGACCTGTAATCCCAGCACTTGGGAGGTAGAGGCCAGAGGTTCATGGTTGAAACCCAGCCTGGGCTACATAGCAAGTTAGAGGCCAACTTGACCTATGTGAGACCCTATATCAAATGGCTCTCACTCCCAAAACATAGTAGTCAGTGTATCACCCTATTAAGGGTCTCAAGTCCCACATCACAGTGTGAACCGCAGCCTACCATGTCTTACTAGAAAGACTTCTGAAGTCAGCTTCATGTCCCCACATCTGTTCTGTTATTTACAGAGCGAGGACATTGGTGGTTGGTTCCTCAACACTGCTAATGCTGGCTAAGGCAGTCATTGAATTAAAATGAGTAATATAGTCAGAAGAGGTCACGTGCAGATGTCTGCTCATTGAAGCCCATGCCCGTTTCTGACTGGGGAAAGATAGAGCATTACATAGTCGCAACCCCTCCTCCCACCCCTTGAAAGAAGTGCTGTGGGGAGGTGGCCTTGCCATGTGCTTTGGAGGCTGGATCTATTTCAGAGAGGCATTGAAGGAAAGGAAAAGTAGAGCCAAGCCAAAAATACCTTGATATAATTGGTATACAGTATTTTAAAAGCATCAAATATAAGAGGGAGAGAAAACTGTCTCATATTTAGTACAGTGTTGTTAGTAGCTTTATTTATGTGCTTATTTGGGGCTTCTTTTCAGAGCCAAGCTGTAGATCCAGAACAGTTCTCAAATCAAGAATCCAACATGATGCTGGAGCAGAAGGCCCCTGTTTTCCCACAGCAGTATGCGTCTCAGGCACAAATGGCCCAGGGTAGCTATAATCCCATGCAAGATCCAAACTTTCACACCATGGGACAGCGGCCTAATTACACCACACTCCGTATGCAGCCCCGACCAGGTCTCAGGCCCACGGGCCTCGTGCAGAACCAGCCAAACCAACTGAGACTTCAACTTCAGCATCGCCTCCAAGCACAGCAGGTTAGTTTTTCATGGGACCTTTGGAGCTGGGGCTCAGGAAGATTAATGCGTGTCGGTGTACCCATGAAGCATTAGAATTGGAGGGGAGGCGTGGTTAATTGGAAAGGGTGATTTGACATAAATATTTCCTGTTTTGTAAAATGTACTGAAATGGGATTGACTACATAACCCTCGAATCCTAGCACTTGGCAGGAGGATTTAGAATCCTAGGCCTTGCACTGAACGTGGTTGTGTACACCTTTAATCTTAGCACAGGAGGCAGAGGCACACAGATCTCTGTGAGTCTGAGGCCAGCCTGATGTGCAGAGTGAGTTCTAGGTCAGCCAGGGCTACACAGAGACTTGAATCACCCCTCTCTCAAAAAAGTATTGATTTCTGCTTGTTCGTATTTTAGAATCGCCAGCCACTTATGAATCAAATCAGCAATGTTTCAAATGTGAACTTAACTCTGAGACCTGGAGTACCAGCACAGGTGAGCCCAGCAGCTGTGTGTGTCCACCATGTCCCCTCAGCTCCTTCTGTCATCCCTCCTGCTGGTTCTGCACCCCCAGGCCTATGCTTCCCTGCTTTAGTGCCCAGTGCCATCTTATTGCCAGAATGCACAAGAGTTATATTACAGAAAGTCTCAACCATTCATGATTCAAGTACTGACTGATGTTCCCAAAAACACAGGCTTGGGGTCCTACACACCTTTGGTCACGACATTGTTCTCAGCACATCAGTACATAATCTTGTTTTTATGGAAGTTTCTGTTTGAAGACATTTTTGTGTGTGTATTTTACTCATTAACATTAAACTCACAGTCAGGAGGTAACTGGGGAGGGGATACCTGGGTATCCCCAACCAAATCTGTTTTGGTGATCAGTGAAGAAGGCCACTACCACCCTTACCTCCACCTTTCTGAAGTACACCAAGTTCTTTTGGCAAGGATTTGGTTTCTTGTTATATTGGAAAGTTCCTTAAGAGAGACTAAACTGCCATCCTCAAGTGATGTAAAGAGCCTTCTGCTGGGCATGGTGGCTCCTGCTGTAATCCCAGTGCTCAGCAGGCTGAAGCAAGAGAATAAAGAGTTGATGGTCAACTCGAGCTGCGTAGGGCTTAGAGAGATGGTTCTTCTAGAGGACCTGGATCCAGTTCCCAGTATCTACATAGCAGCTCATAGTTATCTCTAACTCCATCCCCTGGTAATTGGACACTCTTCTCTGGCCTCCATGAGCACTGCACATGCATGCTGCATAACACATACAAATAAACACAAAGAGCCTTCTAGGAAGGCCTGTGCTCCTTTGAAGTCCTCCGATTGACTGTATTCTCACAAAATGAGTTAGTCAACACCAGTGTGGTTGCAGAATCATCACAAAGGTTGAACTTGAAAACTTACATACTCACTCTCTAGTTGGTCCACTCTGAGTACTTTCTTTCGTGTAATTTTATTTTCCAAATGATTTTGCATGAAGCATGCCATTGGTATCATGTCTAACCTATCTACCCTTGGTTTTCCTTCATTTCAGGCTCCTATTAATGCCCAGATGCTCGCCCAGAGGCAGAGGGAAATCCTCAACCAGCATCTTCGGCAGAGACAAATGCACCAGCAACAGCAGGTGCAGCAGCGAACTCTGATGATGAGAGGACAAGGGTTGAATATGACCCCAAGCATGGTGGCTCCTAGTGGTATACCAGCAACCATGAGCAATCCCCGGATTCCCCAGGCCAATGCTCAGCAGTTTCCATTTCCTCCGAACTACGGTACTGAACTTATCCCCACCACCTCTCCTCGGTCCTTTCTCCCCAAAGCCTCCTAGTCCTGGGTCTCAGCTCCTCTCTCACAGCTCTTTGCACAGCTCTCAAATGAATCTGACTAACCAGAGAATAATAAGAAACCTAAGAGGACAGTTGGAGCCTAGCAGAAGTCCCCAAGTCCAGCACAGTGCCATGCAGTCTCTTTGCCCTGGTCGTTCCTTTTCTCTGGGTGCAGGTCTTAATTTAAGGATGACCAGTTAAGTGTGTATGTGTCTCTGGATGTGTGAGCGAACATGAGTGTGTTTGCTCGGATCGGTAATATAACACACAAACACACACACAAATATTCCTACTGTATGAAGTCTGACACAAAGAAATCAGTAGCTAGATACAAAATGTCAGAATAAATAAATCAATTTAAGTATTACAGATACTCTACAGCTTTGAAAAACACTTTGTTACTGACAATACTTATGAAAAAAGAAAATAAAACCTTTAAAAGATTCTACCAAATCTTTACTGAATAGGTAATTCTTGAAGTGTTACATTAGAGCCGCAGTGGGAGGCCTCTTTACTTCATATCTCTTGCTCTTTAATGTCAGTCTAAGAGATGAAATACCAAGGATAATGTTATAGATATGAATGTTTATGTGTGTTATGTTCAATTAATAGTGGGATTATTAATAAATGGAAGTGCTTACATCAACATTAAGTGTTCCAAATGGCTATCATTTCCCTGTCTGAATGATCTCTCAGTAAGATAAGTCTTTCTGTTGCCTAAATACAGATGTGCTGTCTCTCTAAAGAGCCAAGATAATGTAGCCCAGTACTGTGTGTCATGCTTTTAATCACAACACTCAGGAGACAGAGGCAGATAGATCTCTGTGAGTTCAAGGCCAGCCTGGTCTGCAGAGTGACTTTCAGAACAGCCAGGACTACACAGAGAAACCCTGTCTCAGGAAAAAAAAAAAAAAAGAAAGAAAAAGAAAGAGAGGGAAAACTAGTGTATTTCTTTGACATAAATGTTCTTTTGTGGCTCCTATAAGTGCTACACAAATATTAAGCAAACGTGCATGCTTGTTCCACCCCTGAGTTGCCCTTCTCACCACCTTCCTTTCCCAGAGCCTCTGCTGTGTTTCCTTTCTCATGGCTAGGAAAGGTCTGCTGAGAGTTCTTTCCTTTTTCTGCGAATTCTTTTACCCTGAAACTAAACAAGAAACATACGGTGAAATGGTCCCTGACTGCTAAACCTGACAGCACTCGGGTACTACAAGCCCTTCCCAAAAGCAAGACAAGGCAGTGTGAATGCAGTTAACGTGTTTTCTAAAGTAGCTGACCTCATCATTGGATGGTGTAATTCAGTTTAATGAAGTTTCTCATGTACTTTCAGTATGTAGCTGAATTTAATGAACCTAAACTAAATGTAATCAATACAGTTACAGTGATAGTTACATTTTTGAAAAAATTTGACCATTTCTGATAAAAGTGATGTGTGCATATAAACTCTTGGTTTGGAGGGAGTTAAAGAAAGAATGTCATTTCTCTGACACTAGCCATGACATTTAATGTGTGTCCTAGGACCCCTCTGACTGTTTTGGATTTCTATCTTAGCCTGAATCTTTTTAAATGTCTATAATTAATTGTATGTAATCAAGTATTTGAAAGTAATTTTGTGTATACTTAATTTGGAATATTCTCTCTATGATATAGCCAATAATCTCCTTTGGACTTCCTGTTTTGTTTTTAAGGAATAAGTCAACAACCTGATCCTGGTTTTACTGGGGCTACGACACCCCAGAGTCCTCTAATGTCCCCCCGGATGGCACACACCCAGAGTCCCATGATGCAGCAATCTCAAGCCAACCCAGCCTACCAGCCCCCCTCGGACATGAACGGATGGGCACAGGGGAGCATGGGCGGAAACAGGTAATATCACGTGGCTGCGTCTGGTACAAAAGATTCCTCCAAGAAACTTTCTACAGAATAGCCATCCTGTTCATCTATATTTTTAAAAATGTATTTGCTTAAGCAAGCAATAGCAAGTGGATTGCTAAATAAGCCAGTTTACTCTTTAGCAAAAATCAGCAAAATTTTACAAAAGCCTAGCATAGCACCTCTTGCTTCGAAGTTGAAAGCAATACCTGTAAGCTGGTTCCCCTTTAACTGTAGAACTCCCTGTGGAAGGCAGTGATCCAGAGCCAGCTTTATCAGTATTTGTGATCAGAGCACATAGGGCATCTAGGGGCTGGGAAAGTGGGACGATGTGAGTCCTCTCAGTAACGTATGCAACGGAAAAGCTTCATGTTTCTGTCCCGGCATCTCAGGCCGACTGGCCCTGTATTCACACCATTTAGATTCGTTCATTCTAGAACAAGTGCTCCAGACTGCTGCCTTGGTTTACCGCCAGGCTCTAACACCTTCTCCCTGTGTTCCAGCATGTTTTCACAGCAGTCCCCACCACACTTCGGGCAACAAGCAAACACCAGCATGTACAATAACAACATGAACATCAATGTGTCCATGGCAACCAACACAGGAGGCTTGAGCAACATGAACCAGATGACGGGACAGATGAGCGTGACCTCAGTGACCTCCGTGCCTGCGTCGGGGCTGTCCTCCATGGGTCCTGAGCAGGTAAGGGCCAAGGAAAGAATTTTTGAGTCTTGACTTTTTGTCTATTTATGCCCTTGAGTCCCACATCTATTTTGAAAAGTGTTTTTTCACCTTATTTTCACCTGTGCCAGTGAGATTTAACAAAAATACTTTTTAATGGTAGACCATTAGGAAAGATTTTTGACTGCTAAAGGGTGAGGGTTTTGTTGTTGTTTTCACACCATCAACGTTTCTCATGATGTGGGATTTAGACACGGAATGGCGAGCGCTGTGAAGTTTTAGAACTAGCTTTGCTAACTGGGGTAGTGCACACCTTTAAAAAGCTGAGGCAGGAGAATCTCTGAGTTCCAGGACAGCCAGGACTGCGCAGAGAGACCCAGTCACCCGCGGCGCCGCGTGGCTGCCATGAAAAGGCTGCTGCACTTGATCCTCTCCACTGCCGCAGTGCAGGCGCCATAGTTGGTTTCTGGTCAGTTTTTAGTATCTATTTTGTGTGCCTGTCGTGCCGTCGCTTTATGTAGTTCAAGGCCGGCCTGGACTACATGAGACCGTGTCATAGGAGGGAGGGAGGAGAGAGACAGGACACACATGGACCCTGGTGGTTTCTGGTTTGCTGTCAGGCATGTGGCAGAAATGAGGCATGCAGTGCTGCAGCGATAGGGCATAGTCACAGGCCAGCCTCCCCAGGGACGGGTGGGTGCCTTTAGTAGCTCAGACCATTTGAAATGGATGTATCAAAGTATCAGAGTCAATATGGTAAGCCAAAAAATAAGACCACAACTACAGTGTGTCTTCTGACAAAGCCATTCTCTTTAACTTTGGTGGGATTAACACTGGTGGGATGGCGTCACAGTGGGGTGGGGTAAAAGCACTTGCCACCAAACCTTACAACCTGAGTTCCAGCGCAGGACTCTACCTCCACACTCATGCTGCGGTACACACACCCTCACCACACAGAATAGAGGTGATAAAAGGAGTTGGTTCATGAAAGCCAGCAGTGTTTTGGGTGCTCATAGCTTGCCTGAGGAGCAAGGGTGTGAGGAGTGTCTCGGGTTTCACAGTCACACCGTTGAGTTATCAGTTTTATTGGAACCAGCCTTAAACACAGACACACAGAGGGAGAGGGAGGATATAAATGAAAATATGCAAGTAAAATTTATTTTTGAAGGCAAATAGCATACTAGTATACTATCATATGTTTTCAGCCTCTATACTGCCCCGAAATGTGCATATGGAAGAGCAGCTAGGCCCCTGAAATCGTTGTGATGGGGTCGTTTCTCCCCAGGGACATAAGACTAAAAATGGGAAATGTTCATGTGTTGTCACCCTCAGGTAAATGACCCTGCTCTGAGGGGAGGCAACCTTTTCCCAAACCAACTGCCTGGAATGGACATGATCAAGCAGGAGGGAGATGCATCTCGGGTAAGCAGCCGCAGCCAAGGGGGCGCAGCCAGTGGACATAAGTTAAGTCAGTGGATTAGAAATAGCTGGAAGGCATTTTATCATTTCATTTAGCGTAGAGAACTTTTTTTGTGTAAATAGTTTTTGTCTTGTTTTTGCAAGGTAGGGCTATATTTTTTAATTTGTTTTAATATAGGGTGGCATGTAGCCCAGGATGGTCTTAAACTCACTCTATAACTGACCCGGACTCCTGCTTTCTCCTAGAATCACAGGCGTGTACCATCACGCCTGATATTTGCTGTTTGGTTTGTTTAAGGCTGGGGCTGCTAGGGATACAACACCACTGGTAGAGGACTTGCCTGAAATGGATAAGATCCTGCGGTGAATCCCCAGTACCATAAAAAAAAAAAAAAATAGAAAGAAGCTGGTGCCGGCTGCCTTCCCTCCTTTTTTCTCCTTCCCCTGGCACACCCCATCACTTAAGGGATAAAAAACTTTGTTTTGTTTTTCTGAAACAGGAGCTCACTTTGTAGCCCTGGCTGTCTTGGAACTTGGTATGTAGACCATGTGGACCCCACAGAGATCTGCCTGTCTCAGCCTACCAAATGCTGGGGTCAAAAGAGTACACAGCCACGCCCAGCTCTGAAAAACATTTTATCCTGTTAGGAAGATCTGGAATTCAGGGTCATTAGCTAATTTGAAGCCAGCCAGGTTACAGTGAGATCCTGTCTCAAAAAATGAAGGACCAAAAATATACCTGAGTTTGTTTCCAAGAACTCACAGTGGAAGAAGTGAGCCAACTCTCAAAAAGTTATCCTCAGACCTCCACATTCAAACACATATAACAATAACAAAGTTTTTAAATGACCTTTGAAGCCCACCCTGGAATACCCAAAAAATAAACAAATAACTTGATCCCAATGGAGAAACTAGTATTAAATGAATGTTGAATGTCCTTAATCCTGGGTGCATCTGTAGTAGTAATCAGATTTAGAATAAACCCAGCCCATATCTTAATAAGATAGTGTATTTGTTTTCCCACTGCAATCTTTGGTTTTTACAACCATAATCCTGGGTTTCAGAGGTGCTGACGGTGTGTAGGACATAACATGATGGTTAGGTACACAAAAGCTCGCTGTATCGGTGTTTTCAAAGCTTTTACCAGGTAAGGAAGTCACACACTGGACTAGATTCCATATTGACCATGTGTTGCATTTGGAGTTTACCAGTTCCAGGGCTAATTTGATAAAATGCTCACTGTGCAGACATGAGGATCTGTGTTCAAATCCCCAGCTCCTAACTAAAAAGGTCCGCATGGCAGCACACACCTGGAGCCCCAGGACTTCAGGGAAGGAGAGAGGGAACAGGCCAGGCAGTCTAGCTGAATCAAGGAGCAAGGTAGAGAGTGATGGAGAAAGATCCCAGATGTCATCCTCCTCCATAGCACATGTGTACACTCAAGCAAGTACATACATATACCACACACATGCATGAAGTGGGTGCGGGCCGTGGGTGGCAGTGTGACCATTGTAGCCCAGGCAGGCCTTAACCTTGGTCCTCCTCTGCATGTGTCTCCTGAGTGCTAGGCATGTGCCATCATGCCTGGCTGGAGGAATGTCTTTGATAAGAGAGCAGAAGTCATTCAGGAGAGATTGTCCATCCCCTGACCACAACCTGCAAGAATTGTTGAGTTTGTAAATGTGGCATTCTGCTAGGAACAGCACCATTTACCTTCCCACATCAGAAACAAGAGATTTATGTTATCTAGAATAAACTAGCATTTGTGTTTTGTGATGGACATTGCATTGTTTTCATTTCAAAAAGGAAAAAAAAACCACTTGATATTGATATTGCCAGGATGGCGGTACACATATTTGGGGTAAGCGGGTGGAGAATTTGAGATAGGTCCTCGGGGATGCAATAAAAATAACCAACCAAACATAAAGAGCCCGCTGTCTTCACACTGCCTCTGTCTGTTTCCTTCCAGAAATACTGCTGACCCTACAGGTAGCAGTCTGCTTCTATCTTCAACCCACGGGGCTCACTTGCTCCAAACACTGACCAGTCTGCAGAGCTGCGTCTCTTTGTTCTGCCCCACCTGACCTGCCACCGGTTCCCCCAGGACACGATCAGCAGACAGCTGGCGCTGGCCCCAGCAGAGAGTGAGCTGGCTTGGCTGCCACTGGAAGCACCCGCCGCCTCTCCTGCCAGCCTGAAATGCGCCTCCAGACCATCTCGCAGTCTGTCCACTGCATTCACCTTAGTGCAACTTAGATCTCTCCTGCAAAGTAAATGTCGACAGGCAAACTTCATACCCATTCAGATTGAATGTATTTAAATGTATGTATCTAAAGAGAACCATGCTCTTGTTCTGTTCCTCTTCAGTTCCACACACTGGTTTCTTGCTTTGTTTTCCTTGGCTAATCAGTCTAGTACAAAAGATTATGATCCTGTCTAGAGCAAAGAAAGGAAGTCAAACACGAGGTGTTCTAAGCTAAATCCTGCACTTGGATGGAAGCAGGGCAGACGCTGAGCAATGCCGTGTGTACCTGACACACCCAGCACACTGAGGTCGTAGCCTGCAGGAAGCTGACAGCTGTGTCACGTCGGAAGGAGCATCCAGTGTTTGAACAGATGAAGCGCCTGAAAGAGCGCTCTTCACATGAACAGGTATCTGTTCCAGGTTTCCTCTTTCTGAAAACCAAACTAGTTCCCCTAAATCAGGAGTAAAAGAATATTAATTTCTAAATTGTGTTTTTAGATGGATCAGGTGGTTTGAATTGGCATCTCCTCCCCCCTCTGGCCCTGACCTCTGCCTCCCCTCCCTGCCTTCTCTTGTCCCTCCTACTTTTGTGGCTTTTAAATAAAAACAACAGCAACAGCCTAAGCTACAGAAACCAGCTTAGCCATGCATCCTGTCAGCGTTGGCTAGCCACTTAGCAACAGCTTACATCAGAACTGCATTTCCTGTCAAGGAGAGGAAGAAAGTGGAGAAGGGACACCAGTCAGCTGCGACACCTGCGTAGGAAGGCCTGGGCTGCCATCCACTCTGGCCACCAAACGAGAGTTCTGATGAAATCGACAGCGGACATCACGACAGATCTGACCTCTGCCATGGGTTTTTTATTTTGTTTTTTAGCAGTGCTGACAAAGCCGAAGTTTTGTAAGGTACATAACCCAGTTTATATGTAAACAAGCAATAATTTAAGTTCAGAACTTAAGTGTTTCAATTGTATAATTTTGTGAGGTATACATATTGTGGGATTGACTCAAAAATGAGGTACTTCAGTATTAAATTAGATTTATCTTCATAGCAATGTCTCCTAATGGTGTTTTGTAAAGGCTGCCAATGCCTTGATTGGACCTGATTTGTAGACTTAAGACCTTTTGTTTTCTAAACCTTGAGATTCTGCTCATGAATCATGTATCTAATCTATATGATATGCAGCCGCTGTAGGAACCAAGTCTTGATTTTATATGTTTATATTCTTTCTTAATAAACCTTAGAAAGACTACACATTACTAGCAGCGCACTTTTATGGTTGTTTTTCCTGCCCAGTCTGTCAGGGAATAGCCTTTGTTAACTGGTGTCAGATTCTGACAACTGCAGTACCCAGAACTAAGACCTTTTAATTCTCCCCAACCCCGATATACATACTTTCTTACCTAAATTTCAAAATGGTATCTTTTTGATGTCTAAAAACAAAGCATTTTATAATATCTCATTAGCCAAGCTTTCTAGGAACAGAAGTTTTTCCTTGAAATTTAACTGTTTATTCCCGGCAGGGTGAAAAACATATAAACTCCCCTATTTATATTTATGTCTCTCTATATATCTACAGATTGTGGAAATATAGAAAAGAGATATGACCCAAAGACAAATGGTAAATCGTCTGAAAGTGTTGCTCCAAGCTAAGGAACTTTCTGGAAATTTGCATTCCAATACCTTTTCCACTTTGAGAGGACTCTCGGTGCAGGGAGGTGGCCAGGGACAGCGCTTCCCAGGGACCACCAGTTCATGCGTCCGCTCAAGGCTCCACTTTTCTCCACCAAACCATTGACTGCACAGCTGCCCTGACAACAGGGAGCAGATGGAGGCCAGGAGCTCTAGGCCCTCCCCCAGGAGTGGGGCTCATGTGGTACACTGCTAAAGGTGACCCATGCTCAGATCAATTTTCAAAAATACGTGAGCTAGGATAAGTTTCAGCTTGACACGGCACAAGAGAAAATAGAGTTGAAAACAGATTTGTTTTGATTTTAAACCCATTTCACTATAACACCAGCCACAATACCGATCTTTCAACATTCATGCATTCTACCACTCTTTTCAATGTCGGTCCCAACCGGGCAAGTGTACAAAGGCGGCAGTCAGAATAACTGTGATCAGGACGTGAAGAGAGGGTAAATTCTCTCCCCACAGTCGTATTTTACATCTCGTTAGGAGAATGAAGTAAGTGACGGGGTCCTCTGATCATGTTCTCACAGAAGCAAATGCCAAATCAACTCCCTTCTTTGTCAGTATTCCTCATGCTATACCCAGTAAATTTGTACTTGGTTTTTGTTTAACAGGACATATAATCAGTGTTTTTCTTATATCGCTCAATGTGAAAAGCATACCCATGTTAACTCGGTTGTAGAACCCATCTCAGTGTTCGTGTACCGTGGTAAGTTTTCAAAGTGAAGTGAGCTGTGTTACTACAACAGATTCGTTTGACTCAAAGATTAAAACACCCCCCACGTGTATCTTCTACGACCTGTGATAATTGAAAGCAATGGTTTGTTGCAGTTTAAGATGCGACTTTGAATCTGTGTTTCTAACTGGAGTTCCTCTGGGTGTGACACATGAACTGGGAGGCGCAGATGCACTTGCAGAACCCAAAGATACACAATCAATTTTGAAATGCAACTTAAGCCATTAACTGTTGGTGTGAATTTAAAATTTTCTAGTGTTTGTATGGTAGTATGCTGCCTAAGAGCAAAGCATTCTCTGCACAAAAGAAAATTACTGTAGTGGCTTCGATTTTAATTAGAATTTTCTCCCTGGTGTTTCTTTATAGACTAAAACAAAATCTTTTAAGTTTCTTACTACAGGTAAAAGCTATGTGCAAGAACCTCAAAATGCTAAAACCTAGCATAATGCCTTAGATCTGTTTTTAAGTCTTGTATATTCCTACATAGCTGTCCAATGTATTATATTTGTATAGTGAATTGTGTACAATTTTTGAACAAGTGCATCATCACTTACCCTTATGTTATTGAACAGTGATGATGATTCATTTCTTCAAACATTTAACTGTCATTTTTTTCTTTGTCATTCGTGGATTTTATTTGTACAGTTCCTCATGAAGTTGCATCTGAGATATGTGTATATGAAAAGATTATACAAGGGTAAAATTAAGCAATATATTAACTATGGTTCTTCAGGAGAAAGCTTACAGTGTTTCAGGTTGTGATTTATTTTCAAAACAGAGTTGGCTCTGAACATCACTTTGTTCATCTGCATTGATGTTTGTATTTCTAGTGTGAGCAGTTTATGCAAAGGTAGATATATTCAGAGAAATTTTAAATACATTTATGCAAGTTACTATTGCTTTGCTGATGCTATTTGCTTATTTGATGTTAAATAATGCTATTGTAAATAAAGAATCTGTTGTTACTGCATCATTTAATAAATTTTAATGCCTTCGGGTTTTACATGGCTTTAGAGATTTTAATGTGGTTATAGTGTATCTTTTTTTTGTAATTTAAATTTAAAAATACCTGAGAACTGCTGGTTCAGTGGTTAAGAGCACTGGCTGCCCTTCCAGAAGACCCAGGTTCGATTCCCAGCACCCACGTGGCAGCTCAGAAGCATCTGTCACTCCGGTTCCAGGGGATTCATCCCCTTCTTCTGGCTTCCGCAGGCATCAGGCCACAGGTGCACAGACATGCGAGCAAAACACCAAGAGACAAACTACAAAAGGAAAAAGAGTTAAAGACCTTGTTTGTCTTCTGTGCTGGAGGGATGGCTCAGTGATTAAGAATGTCTCTTGCATTTCAACAGAGTCTGAGTTCAGTTCTCAGCACCCAGGTCAGGAGGCTCACCGCTCCTCTAACTCCAGCTCTTCCGGTGCACATGTCCACACAGAGAAACACCCATACACATAATTAAAAATAGATGTTTACTTTTAAAAAATTTAGCGTTGGCATGGCAATTAGTGTTGGTTACAGCGCTCTGGCATCTCAGCCTCCCAGCAAAGCTAGGAAAAATGTATTCTACTTGAGATTGTGAAATACTTTATGGCAAACATAGGCCACATCTACTCACCTCACTCCAAATACTGCTACAGTCCCAAATCATAGACTGTTTGTGGTTTGTTTAAGATAAAAGTTTCTCTATGTAACCGCCCTGGCTGGCCTTGAACAGAGATATAGCAGCTTATCTTTACCAGCTGAGCCATCTTCCCAGCCCTCAAACTGTGGATAAGAATGGCATGTACGGTTTCATGGCTTACTGGGGTATTAGGCATGGCACATGAGAATAGATTGGTAACACTTGGTAGGTTGCTTTGGTACTAACATGTATACTGTGACTATAGTACCTACAACCCAGGTCATAAACTGCAGGCAATACTAGTGGCTCTGTTTGGTTTGGTTTTTCCTGCCCGGAGATGGAGGGGCACATTGACCATTGCAGGTGGCTAGATCAAGCATATGATAGGACAAGCTGTCTGCTACTTGCAAGGCTATATACCGCCAGTGCATCTTGCTTTTAGATACTGGCCAAGCCGAAACAAACTTTTTCCAACGTTTTACTGCAGCTACCCCAACCCCACTGTGTTGTGAGGTTTCCTGGTTACCTAGACCTGAAATAATCACACAAAGCTATATTAATTAAATCACTGCTTGGCTTATTAGCTAGCTTGTGCAGATTTCTAGCTAACTCTCACATCTTAGTTCAACCCATCTCTATTAATCTGTGCATCACCATGAGGTTGTGACCTACTGGCAAGGTTCTGGTGAGTGTCTCCTCTGGTGACTACATGGCGTCTTACTGACTCTGCCTACTTTCTCTATCTCTGCTTGAAATTCCTGCCTTACTCTATTCTGCCCTGTGATAGGTCCAAGGCATCTTCTTTATTAACCAATGGTATACAGGGGGGAATTCCACATCACCGCTGTGTATGGATTTTCATCTCCATCTGCCTTCAGAAGCATCTGGAATTCATTGTGTAGCCCAGGCTGGCTTTGAACTCCTCCTGCCTGAGCCTCCTATGTGCTGAGATTTTTGGTATACCCCGTCACACTCAGGCAATGTGCTCTCTGAAAAATACTGCTAGCATGTTCCTGGACCCTGGAAAAGACAGAACCCCTAACCACAAATGTAGATCATTGGTTTGTCCATAAATGACTGCTGAATATTGGGTGCTGCTGGCCACAGCAAGTTGTACCCAGGAAGTGGTGACAGGGAATGAGAAAAAACAACGTTCAACAGAGGAGAGAACTGACAGACAGCTGAACCACTGCCTGCCAAGTTCTGTGTGCCCAGCAGCATCATAAAACAAATGGTGTATCATGATCGTTCCTGGGCCAGCAAGTGCTTCCACCAAGCCTGACAACCCGAGTTCACCAGAGCAGCGTGGCAGGAGAACTGACTGCTGCAGACTGGCCTCTCTCCTAGTTGGGATTACTATGACTCTGATGGAACACCATGACCTAAGCGACGCTGGGAGGAAAGGGTTTATTCTCCTCACAGTTCATCAAAGGGAGTCAGGATACTCAAGCAGGCCAGGAACCTGGTGCAGAGGTCATGGAGGGTGCTGCTCACTGACTTGCTTGCCTTGGCTTGCTCAGCCTGCTTTCTTTCAGAACTCAGGACCACCAGCTCAGGGGTGGCCCCACCCACAATGGACGAGCGCTTCCCTCACCCCCCCATCAAATTAAGAAAATGCCCTACAGGCTTGGCTATAGCCCAATCTTAGACATTTTCTCAGTTGAGGCTCCCGCCTCTCTGATGACTCCAGCTTGTGTCAAATTGACATAAAACTAGTCAGCCCATCCTCTGACTTCCGCACAGGCGCCAGTGTGGGCACCTCCTCCTGCCAAAATGAGAGGGTGCCCTAGATACTCGAGTATTCATGGCGTGGCTCCATGCACAGCCTTACAGACCTGGACGACCTGCTGAAGGAATAGAGAGCTGAAGCCTAGTGTACACATTAGTCTGCTATCGAGAGGCCATCAGGTACCCTGAGACAGTGGCCCTGACAGAAAGCAATCTTTCCAGTGGGAGGTAGTGCAATAAGTACATAATGATCTGTATGTAATCTCACTTTAAGAATAAGGAAAAGTGGCCTAAACTGAGTGTAAATTTCTCATCCAACCTAGTTACTCACATGTGTAATCTCAATAATCAGTAAGCTGAGGCAGGAGGATTGCTAGAAATTGAGGCCAGGCTCACCTGGAACAGTGAGTTCCAGGCAAGCTAATCTGTCTTAGGAGTGTGATGCTGTTCGAGAAGACAAAAACAAAGCCCTGGCCAGTGGCCAACGATCAGACCATCTGCTCAGAGGCTTGGAATGAAACCAGAACACTGACAAAGGCATACTAAGGAAAATGAGTGTCCAGTTTGAGAGGTTTTTTTCCCCCTCTTGAGAAAGGGCTTCTCTGTGTAACAGTTCTGGCTGTCCTGGAACTCGCTCTGTAGACCAGGCTGGCCTCTGACTCCCAAATTCTGGGATTAAAGGTGTGTGCCACCACCGACTGGCCAGTTTGAGCATTTTGGAGCTGCACATTCAGGCAAACATCCAATGCAAGAACAGCACTACACACAGCCATGGAGACACAGTAACTGGTTGGCTGACTCAAGCCAGGCTTCCTCATCAGCTTCTACAGGCAGGGCTGGCACAGGAATGCAGTGGCCCTAGTAACCAAGTCAGAGCCCATCATGAACTGAGACAGATCAATTTATGGTCGAGACAGCAGAACACTTGCCCACTGGGGGGCCCCAAACCCTAGGATAAGTGAGCATCAGATGGTGACCAGCAGAGGGAGCCTGCTGCAGGGCTAGCCAGGGGAGCGCGGCACTGAATTTTCACTCGCCAGTATCGGTCCCTATTTGTCCTTCCAGTGCTACTATTTCCCTTAGTCCGGTCCGGGACGTCTACCTGATGATTCTAAGGAGATAACCTGCACTGTCTAGTCACACCCTCTCACCAGGGAATCCTCACAGAGGAAAATTCCAGCCTACCTCTGCTCTAAATAAGAGGATCTCTCCTCCTGTTCTTTCTTCCCTCTGCTCCCCCAGGCTGGCTGTTCTACGTTGCTGCTGTTGCTGTGATAAAACATTGACCAATGGGGGAAGATGATTTATCTTACATTTCCAGGTGACCGTTCATCCCTGCGGAGAATCAGTGCAGACACTGAAGCAGAGAGCACGTCAGTACCCAGGCTTGCTGGTGCCTTCCTCGGCTACCTTATTTGTTTGTTTGCTTGCTTGCTTTTGGTTTTTTTTTGTTTTGTATTGTTTTTTGGTTTTTTCTTTTGTTTTTTGTTGTTGTTTTTGTTTTTTGTTTGTTTGTTTTTTGTGGTTTTTTTTTTGAGATAGGGTTTCTCTGTGTAACAAACAGTCCTAGCTGTAAATCAGAGGTCCAGTATAACCTGTGCCCTCTGGCAGTCGTTGGCAGGGCCAGGCAAAGCCTCCTAAGGTTCTCTGGTTTCCTTGTTGTTTTAACTTTTTGATTGTTTGTTGTATGTGTGTGTGTCTGCTTTTTATTTTGTTTAGTTTAGTTTGATTTTTCTGTATGTTTTTTGAGGCAGGATGTCTCTATAGAGCCCTGGCTGTCATGGAACTCAATGTGTAGATCAGGCTGTCCTCGAACTCTCAGAGGGAACCACCTGCCTCTGCCTTCCTAGTGCTGAGATTAAAGTCATGTGCCACCATACCCAGCCCAAGGCAGCTGAAGCGTGAGGGAGGAATCCCCATTGCCTGAAGACAAACGAGCCTTGGAAGTCGGCTTAAGCTAGCTCCCTGCCCAGGACAGAAGCCTTAGGTGTAGGAAGTCTCCTTGTCTTGGGCAAGTCTTGGCGGCAGTCCTTCCTCTCCAAAAAGTGAGCCAGCCTTGCTTCTCAGCAGGCTCCGGCAGCAGTGTGACCACTGTCTATGGTCTGAAGCCTGAATTTATAGGGTATTAGCTGGGCCCAGTGGGACCGTGATTAACTAAATGTGGATTTGCCAACAAGGGTTAAAAAAAAAAAAGAAAAAAGAAAAAAGAAAAAGACAAGGGGCTGGAGAGGTGGCTCAGTGGTTAAGAGCACTGACTGCTCTTCCAGAAGACCGGGGTTCAATTCCCAGCACCCACATGGCAGCTCACAACTGTCTGTAACTCCAAGATCTGATACCCTCACTCAGACATACATCCAGGCAAAAAACAACAATGCACATAAAATAAAAATAAATCAAAGACAAGTGGGGTCTGCTACTCCTACCTCCCCAGCTCAGGAGGCCACTCTGCCCATCCGTGGCCCTTCGGCCTGCTTGCAGTCAAAAGGCTGCCAGAAAGCTTCATATCTGGGTGTGTGGGTGGGAGAGGGAGATGATGGCACCAGGGTCCGACAGGAAGTAGTCTGTGGGCTTCTTGTAGTACGAGTCAGGAGTTTGGCGGGAATCCGGACATGACCCCCGAGGCATGGCAAGCCTATCCTGGAAGGAGATAGAAAGAGAGTGCCCACTGAGAGC